CCCGCGTCCTCCAGCCCAGCACTTACTCCCCTGACAATGGGCATTTCAGCAGCAAGCACTTACGAAAATCATGACGTATAATTAGGTGATCAGGCGACCTCACTACATCGTTGGACCCAGGACAGGGTTCTTGGAGCCTAGCACAGCACGTGGCACTCAGTAAGCGCTCAGTGAATGGCACCTATATGACACTGTACGTCTCTGGACCCTTGTCCAGCTAAAGCAGCCGCCGTCAGGGTAGATGTAGGGGAAAAGGGAGCCAGGTATGGAAGAAGTTAGCGCTCAGCCGCTCTTTTGGCCTTCCCTTTTACAGGCCGAGATCCAGGGGGCGCGGCGGGACAGATGGGTTGGGGTCACACCACCAGGCGCAGTGACCGTCTGCCCACAAGGCCAGGCGGTTCAGAGCCACAGTCCAATGGATCTAGCGTACTTGTTCAGGCTGTTTGGGCAGGGGGCTGCCGCCAGGTGACGGATTTACCATATGTGAATCCAAAAACGGCCTCCTCCCCCTTAAGAGAGGAAGTTTGCACAACCCGTTGTGTCAAAAGCTGCTTGGTAGAAATGCCACAACCTACCCGGTCTCGAACAGCTACCGCCCTAGTGTCCACAGCTGGAGCACGATCCGCGACACGCCGCTAGGGGAGTGGGAGAGTGCGTCCGCCCCGCTCCTGCGCACTCACGGTCCTGCGCCGCGCGCACCCAGGCCCCGCCCCGGGGAGGGCCCGCAGCCCGTCCCGCCCCCCGCCTCTGCGTGCGCACCGCCTAGGGCCCGCCTCCGTGAAAGACTGCCGGGCGCATGCGGCCGGGTCGCTTCACTGGCTGCCTGGGCCGTACCGCACGCATCGCCCGCTTCTGGCTCCTAGGCTGACTGAAGGTTTGAAGCCGGCCTCAGGTAGGCTGACTGCAGAGATCCCGGGAGAGCTGTTCTCCCGTGCAGGAATCAGCAGCGCGAGCTGAGCCCGGCGCGGGACAGCCCCACGGCTGGGTGACAGACACCGCTCCCACCAATCAGGGGTGAGGTGGCTCGCCGGCCAGCCCAATGAGCTGTGTACCTAACGGGAGTAGGACGGTCGGCCAGGCCGGCGAGGAGCCGGCTCCCGCGCGCGGGGCCGCGTGGCTGGGCGCCGTTGGAGAGATGGGCCGCAGTGGGCGCAGGGCCCGGGTTGCGGGGCCCGGCAGCGCCCATTTCAGCGCGGCCTGGCTAGGCTGACCAAAAGGCCAAGGATGGCTTGCGGGATGGAGAGGGCGGTAGAGTGCGGGAGCCTCCTCTGCTCAACCCTCCCCGAGCAGTCCCGGGAGGGTACCGCTCGGTTCGGACTGCCTGGGGCCACGTCTCTCCGTCCTCAAGGCACGGCGGTAGCCTCGCCGAGAGGGCTTCAAGATCCGAGACAGGCCAGTCGCGGTGGAATAGGTTCGGCAGGTTGGCTTCGGCCCCCTCCGGTAGTGGAAGGGGCCTTGGAGCTCACCGGGCCAGTCCGCTTCGGCCCCACAGCTGGCCGCCTCCCTTCCCGGTTGCCCAGAGTGAAGATGCTGCATTTGAAAGAAGTTCACTACGTTTGCGTGGCGCACTTACGTCTACACATTATAATTTTGAATCTTCAGCAGCCCTGTGACACAGGCAATGTGGAGATTCTTACCCCATTTTTACAGATGTAGGGACCAGGGCTTCAGGAAACTTAAGTGATTTGACAGGTCTCAGTACGTAAGTGGTGGAGCTGGAACTGAATTTCACAACATTTAACAAAATAAGAAGCTTTTTTAATCTTTGCATCTTGATTTGTTATTTGTGCTTGAAAACCTTCCGATATCTCCATCATCTTAAGAATAAAGTTCAGATTGGACATTCAGGTTTCCGCATATTTGGGCCCCTTGCCTACATTTCCAACCCATTTCCCACTGTCTTCCTCCTCCTTGCCCCCATCTCTTGTCTTGGCCCTACCTCTGTTTTCTGTAGATAGCCTACACTTTCCTTTTCACTTCGTTCCCTTTCCCATGCTTTAAGTCATACAGTCCTTCAAGGCTCATTGCAAATCTCAGGTCAACAAAGCAGGAGCAATCTAGGTCTTCTCCCCTTGGATTTCTCTTACCTTCTAGATGGGCCATGGTACTTTATCTTGGTGTTGCCACTGAAAGCTTTCTGCTCTCTCTTCTCCTTTTATACCCTTCACATGTTGTACCTCTGCTTCTGCCATCGCTGGATTACTCATTTCTTAGCAAATGTTTTGTCTCTGGACCGCTCGCAACTTGAGATATAGGCCCCAATCTGATTAATTGTTGTGGTCCCCAAAGTATCTGTCACAGTAGCACTTATGTGGTGGGTAGTCCGTGAATGTGAGTGGATGAGTCCTGTTGGCCCCTGACCTGGTCTTTGAATACATTAAATATTTATTGCCAGGCACTGTAAGAGACTGCAAGAATCACCCTCTTAGAGTGAAATTGGAGCAAATCAAATGTAAATGGATGAGACGAATCTTCTGTAGAAGTAGCTCGTTCTGTAACACATTCAAAGTGGCTGAGGAATTGCATAATCGTGAAGATGTACCTGGATAGGACATATCTAAAACATAGCCAAGTCTGTTATTTGTGTGTCACTAAGGAAGTGTTCAAATAGTAGGGCCTTGGGGTCAAACAAGTTTAGGGAGACTGCATACTATATATCCCTTTTTGGAGGTCACATTGAACGTTAACTTATTAAAGGCTCCGAGAGTTTTTGCATTAAAGAAACCAATTGACTGTTTAACTAGCATTCCAACATTTCTCTGATTTATCTGTCTCCAAAACCCTTTTTGGGAATCCCATATGCGTTTTGTGGAAACCAAGAAGCATGCTTTTGGAAATGCTGAAGATAGAAAGAGCAAGACATGATTACAGTGTCCTTCTTGCTGTCTGAGGGGAGAGACATTCTGAGCATTCTTATCTCCTTGCCAAGTGTGTTCGTTCATTCCTGCCTTGGGGAGGAGCCGGGTGGGGGAGTGCTTCAAGCAGAACTCCTGTTTCCTTGTTCCTTTTCTTAGCTTATTTTTATAATTTGGCTTCACATGAAGTGCTCTGAGGAGGATCTGACTGTGCCAAAGCAAGCATTCTCTTATACTTGATTACATTTCTCATTTTGATTACATTAGGTTTGCTGACCAAATGATGTTTCTGGGCCTCTGAAGCTAGGGGCCAGTGATATGTTTTCCCTGGCGAGCCTCTCGCTGTCTCTTCCACCTCTTATTTAACCTGTCCCTTGCCACTGCTGTTCTTGCATCTATCCATCCCTTTTATTTCTTGTCAAGGTACTGTTTCTTCCAAACCCTGCCACAACTGTCCTGACTTTTAGATTTAATCTAATCTGCCCATATGTGCTTCAGGTTTATTATCTGATGTCCCTTTCCTCCAACGTATAAAACTCTCCTCAGAGCATACCCGGGAGAGATTGCTGGCAAGGAGTAAGTTACTGTTAAGTTACAGAAGAGAACACCCTTTAAAAGATTTTTAGGTTTAACTGCAACTCTTAAATGTTGAAGTTCTTTCCCTTTATTCTGTCTTGTATAACCTAGAGGATCTGTGTTTTCTTGGTGCTACATTGTAATTTAGCCAAAGACACTATTTCTTTCCTGGGGGAGAGTGCTCATCCAAGAGTGAAATTGTTTTCCCCTAATGAGGCTCCTGCTTTGTATCCCATTGTCTGGTGGTGACGTCAACCAGCATTTGGAGCATAGTGTTCTATCAACAGCTTAAAGATTTTTTTTTTTTTTTTTTAATTAGGTTGACTTTCAGGGTTGTTGTCAAAGCTTAAAAAAAAAACAAGTTACATTATTCAATTAGCAGTTGTTTTTCAACTCATATTTAACTGAAGCCATTCAATGATTCAAGAACCCACATAACAACTTTCTGAAGTGTGACAAGAAACCGAGGCTCCAAGAGGGTTAGGTAGTAAGTGGCAGAGCCGGTATTTGAACCTAGATAAGTTTGATTTTTTTTTAGATATATTTAATCTGTAATTTTTCCTTTTCCCAGGTCAAAAAGTAAAATGAAGTACATTCTAGTTACTGGTGGTGTTATATCAGGAATTGGAAAAGGAATCATCGCCAGCAGTGTGGGTACAATACTGAAGTCGTGTGGTTTACATGTAACTTCAATTAAAATTGATCCATACATTAACATTGATGCCGGAACATTCTCTCCTTATGAACATGGTAAGCAAAATGCATTTTTTTTTTTTAAGTGTTTGTACAGTATATAGAGGAACATGTCAGCCCTTGGAAATTGTGTGTGTTTTGCATAACATAACTGCTATTTCTTGTCTTCTAAAAAGATCCTTAGAGTAGCAGAATGATGCTTTTCTCTCCTGGACAGAGAGGAAGCAGAACTCTTACTGTGCAACGTAGTGATTAGAGTCTAGAGGTTTCTGTAATAGAAATAATAGAAATGACCTTTTTGGCAGCTGAGTGAAAATTTGTCACTTTGATTGCAAAAAGGTAATCTGGTAACATAATCTTTCTTCAAATATTTGAGAAAGAGGGATTATGTATATTCTTTGTGGCCTCAAGCTTTAGGGAAAGGATGCATGGAAAGAAGTTATAATAAGGAAATAGATTTTCCCTGATATAAAAAAGATCTTTATAATAGTAAGTGCTCTCCAATTGTGAGTAACTGACTTCTAGCTGTAGGAGTGTTCATTCAAACAGAAGATAAAAGACCACTTTGCAGGGATTCAGGCAATAGATAGATGCTGGAGTTGGATGATATATAAGCTGGAGATTCTATTTTGCTAACAGAGTTTGGATAAAATAAATGAGCATCTTTTGAGATGAGTGAAAAGTTGAAACCATTAAGGGAGGGTAGAAGAATATCACTTTACTTCTTTGTTATTGCTGAATGCTTTTCAACTGTGTGATGTATGACTGTCTGAATCACCTAAAAGATTATTTGCTTAAAATTTGGGGTAGATGTACTGCTAAAACATAGTTCTTAAGTTTTTAAATTGTTTCGTACGCCTACTTTCTAATGTTGAGGTAAAAATCTATAAGGATAGTCTCACCAGAGCAAAAATCTTTAATAAATAGTGACAGGAAAAGATGGACATACTGAAGCAATATTTAATAGAATCTTCTTGAGCAGAGGATGAGCTGTCTCTTTGAGGGGGAAAATTAGACATTTTTTCCTTTTCTATTCTTGAACTTGTCTCCTATTGTGATGGTAAGAATGAACCATTCTGGGCAAAATTTCTAGAATGATGTTTGAGAAATGAATATTAAACAAAGGGATGGGAGAAACTTTGCAGTTTCACAACTTTGTTTAGGACTAAAGCGTAGTCCAGAAGCTGGCTTTTAGAATCAGCGTGACCTTAATATATGTCTTGTTTAAGTTTTGAATCAAATCATGCTTTTATCATGCTTCAAACCTTGCTCTGCTCAAGTAGGAGACTTTGTTGATGCCATGCTAACTGTAAAGTCCCATATACCCACAGCCCTTTGAACTGTAATTTCCTTCCATTCCGTGCTATTTTAGAACTCTTCCTGATTCAAACTGAGTCTGTTAACAGACTGGAAGTGTGAAGTTACCTTTTGGAGAATGATTGGTGACTTTTTTCTTTTATGTCCTATTTAGTTTTCTAGAAATAAAAGTCTTTGCTTCATGTATAGAGAATGAAGACTTTGTTCTATTCTAGTGTTTATATTTTGGCATGCAAGTTGTGCCATGTTATACGTATTTCTCAATTTCTCACTTATCCTAAACATTTTCACTTTTTACCGCAGGTGAGGTTTTTGTGCTGGATGATGGTGGGGAAGTAGACCTTGACCTGGGTAACTATGAGCGTTTCCTTGACATCCGCCTTACCAAGGACAATAATCTGACCACCGGAAAGATATACCAGTATGTCATTAATAAGGAACGCAAAGGCGATTACTTGGGGAAAACTGTCCAAGGTAATTCTGGATTTGCCTCAAGGTTTAAAAATCTTAACCAGTTGAATTTCTTTTGTGTATTGTTACTGAAATCTGCCTTCAGTTGAAATTTCAGGTTTGTATGGCTGCTTACTCAATAACTTGAAGAAGCCATCAGTGCTCTGTGGATGGCATTGAAGCTATCAGTTCAGCGGCATTATTTGAGTCCAGAGAGCTGTTGTTTTTATACAGTGATGAGTGCGAAGTGATAAAGGCAACTGGATTAGGGCAGTAAGCCAGACTCTGTGTGTGTGCATGCGTGTATGTGTGTGTGTGTTGTGTATCTGGGGTTTACTATGTATAGGCAGTGATAGGGAAAAGAACATCCATCGTGTACATGGTTTTCAGGCTGGTCATCAGTGCAAATGGGGTAGGGGGGAGTCTGAGAATTGAGTTTCTGGGTCCTCCTGAGCTATCACCAGCACAACTTCACTTGTATCTGTTTGCTGTATTGGGGTTTTGCACAGTGTTCATTTGAGAAAAGTGCTGATTTGAAAAATGTGGGTTTGGGAAACCACTGGTCTAATAGAGTAGCATTAAGTCCAGATTTTAGGGGCTGCTGAGAAATGGCTTTCATCCAAGTTGTGAGAGAAAATCTGCTTTTGGCTTTAGACTTTACTGGACTGAAAGCCGAAGGTCCTACAGACAGTGGGCAGCGCCGGACCAGATTCTAGGCTAATTGGGTCATGTCGAGATCTTAGCTTTTATGAACATGGATGGATTATTTAACCTCTTTTCAGATATTGTTTCCTTTTCTTAATTAAAATGGAGATGATAACGGTACCTACCTCTCTGGGCTGTTAGGAAGATTAAAAGAGCTAAATCACTAAAGTGTTTCTCTTGAGTTCCTGACACACACAAGGGATCAATTAGAAATTAACATGATCTCGATCATTCAGTTTCTTGTTCTAGGCCTCCAGTGTGTTCATCCACTTATTCATTCATCAAATATGTTTTAATGCTCACTGAGGTCTGACCTCCCTGATGCTGGGAATATTTGATGGACAAGACCAAAGAGGCCATTGCCCTTGTGGAGGTTACATTATGGGAGAGACAGAAGCAAACAGAAGGAGTGAGCTGTCTGATAGGAGCTGTGATGCTTGAAGGAAGTAGAGTGAAGAGAGATTGAGAAAGTGGTGGGAGAGCCGGTTTGGACAGGTGGTCAGGGAAAGCGTCCTGGGAAAGGCCGTGTGAGCAGAGAGGCCAGCCATGGGAGGAATGGAAGGAGGCGGGCACACAGGGCACATGGAGAGGCCCAAGGCTGCAAAGGGCATGGTCAGGGAATGGCAAGGAGCTGTTAAGCCTGAGCACAGTTACCCTTGGGGATGGAAAGAGAGGTGGGTGAGGTGGGCTACAGCCAGGTCATATGGGGCCATCTGGAGTTTGGATTTTACTAAGAGCATAAACCTGGGAAGTGGTGAACTCTGATTTGCATTTTTAAAAGGTCACTTTGGCTGTTGTGTATGGAATAGATAATGAATATCCTTGTGCTTGAGGCACTCTGGCAATATACATAGCAAGTTAAACAGTAATCTCTGCCCCTCAGGAATTTGCCATTAAAGCCTGACAGCTATGATTTAAAAGTGTTTAGTGATAGCTTGCATTTATTGAGCACTGACATGCTAGGCACTCCACTTAGCTTTTTACTAATGCTGTCTCATAAAATTTCCACAGCTTTATGAAGTAGAAGCTATTATTGCCACTTCATGGATAGGGAAATTGAACTTAAGAATAGTTAAGTAATTTGCCTAAAGACCCACCTCTAATGAGTGGTGGAACTGAACCCAGACATTCCGAGCTCAGATGTGCTCTTTCCTGCTCTGCTACACCGAACTCTCTCTCTGTAATGGATTGTCTCCCCTTTGGGAAATGGGAAACATAATGGAACTGGGTCCTAGTTTTCTCTTGTTCCTGGAAAAGCACCCAGGTGTGAAGTGCTCACCTTCAGCTATAAGCAATGGGGTGGCCACATGGTCTGTTGTGTGGTTATGCAGCCAGGATAGTCTCTGCACGGGGGCAGAAGCTCTGATGTGGGTTAAGATGCCACTCTAAGCCCTACTCTCTTATAGTGCTTCCAGCTACAACTTGGAAATCTGGAAAGGAGGCCATAGGGACTGTGAACCCAAGAATTTTTAAGGCCATTTATGAGTGGTCTCTAAAATATTTTTGTGACCCCTTTGCCTCTCTGTGCAGGCAAAGAGTGCAGCCATTTGTTGTCACAGTAAATGTGTCTGTCTTATAGATGCTGATGGACAAGTATAAGTCACATACTTCTTTTCTCCTTTTCAGTTGTCCCTCACATCACAGATGCAATTCAGGAGTGGGTGATGAGACAGGCATTAATACCTGTGGATGAAGATGGCTTAGAACCTCAAGTGTGTGTTATTGAGGTATGTATGAGTCTTTTCTAAACGCCATGATTCCTGGGTAGGTGACCAAGTGGGCATATTTACCTCCTTAGTCAGCTTTCAGCAGCTGATAAGACAATTCCCAGTGAAGGCCTTGACCCTCATAACTGATGTAGCCCTTGACCCTCATAACTGATGTAGTGAGGGCACAGTAACAGTTATGTGGAATGGCTGTGCCATCGAAAGAGATACTTTGTCCAAGGTCCAAGGGAGTCTTCCTTTTCAGCATTTATACGTTCACATAGTATGGACTGTGACACATTTTTATCTGTTTCTTGAGAAAGTCAGCTGACCTTCGGCTTTTGTTCTGGCAGGAGTATTAATCTCTCTGAGTGAATGAGCCCCCTTTGGTTTCAGTTTCTGTATTCCTGCTTTGCTGATCCTAGCTGTTGGATCTCAGTGTTCCTGTGAAAGTAGGAGACTCAGAAGTTCTAGCAGTTTGTATAACTGATGCTTTTTAATACGAGCATTATTCATGGCTAAGAGTAGATAAGATTTAGTTTCCTTTGCTTTGTGACTTTTATAGAAATAAAATAATTAATATATCTTTTACTTGACCTTTTTCTTGAAGTGATGTGGAAAGATCCGTTATAACCTTAGGGAATGGTTAGCCTATACAAAAAAGTAATCTTTTAGCACAAAGAAATGTCTAATTACTGTTAAATGACATTGTACGGGCAAAAGAATCCACATTATACTGTTATTGATCATGGAATTGAGATGGTAGAGTGCTGTTGTTAGAAAACTAAACCACAGGAGGAACCTCTAAAATAACTTTGTTCTTCTAGCTCGGTGGAACAGTGGGAGATATAGAGAGCATGCCCTTTATTGAGGCCTTCCGTCAGTTCCAATTCAAAGTCAAAAGAGAAAACTTTTGTAATATTCACGTCAGTTTAGTTCCTCAGGTAAGGCATTCAAAACTTTTCCTTGTGGGGATGGTGAGGAGGGAGAAAAGGATGATTGTCACTCCTTATCAGTTTTAAGTATTTGAGGAACAGGAAGCAGGGGAAAAAAAACTTCTTACTATAATTATGCTGTTTGAAAAGATCCAGTGGAAAAACATTGGAAAATTATTCAGAGAAGTTGCAGTTAGAGAAGGTGAATTGAACATATCTATTTGTCTTTACCATATGGTGAAACCCCACTACAATTAGAGTAAAGGGATTTCTTTTTAAAGACACAAATTCACAAAGATAAATACTGTGAGAGGAGTCACCAGTAACAAAAATTTGGACAGCAGGGAGCAGTTAGACATGTAGAAACTGACCTAACAGACCTGGGAGAGCTGGATCCTAAGCCTACATCAGAAAAAACAGAGAAGCAACCTTGTTTGCCCTGCAGAACCCCCAGAGGCTCAGGAATGGGCAGCATCCAGTGCTTCTGGGAGTGGGGGTGAGGGTGGGGCTTCTGACTGCTGTTTCAGGAGCAGTTAGACCTCAACGTCCTCTTCCCTAACGTGTACAGTGGGGCATTAACCCCTCCCCCACCTTGTCAAAAGACTGTAGGTGTTTCCTCTGGAGAGAGTTTCTGGATGAGCAAACAGTAGGGACAGTTGAAGGCAGTAATACTGAACTAAAAACATGGGGGTTCAGTGTAATTTTGTGCTGTTGAGACACCCTACCTTCTTCTGCCACTTGTTTCCCAGAGTCATCGCAGCCAGGCAGGACCTTCCACATAGGTGACTATAAGGTTTTTCCTGGGGTATATGAGCAGCCCAGGGGAAAATGCACTGCTCTTAGGGGCTCACCAGTGAAACAGGCCAGCCAGATCCCCACATGAGGACCCTGGTGGGCAAGGCTACCCACTCTCAGAGCTTCTGGTTAGCTTTTAAGTATGAACTGGCAGCCAGTGATCACCAGACATTTGGAGAAAGCATCTTAATGTGCAAGAGACCAAAACAACAGAAAAAAAACTTACAGGAAATTGAGGCTCTACAGGTAGCAGGAAACTAAAAACTTAAGAGAATTAAGATAAACTGCATCCATTAAACAGAAAAGAATTCTTGGTAATTAAAAATTGGATAGCAGAAAAGAAAAATTTAAGAGAAAGGAGGTTGAGGAAATACTCTAGGAAATAAAGCACAAAGATCAAGAGAGTGAAAATAGAGAAAAGGCAAGAAAATTAGAGGACTGGTCCAGGAATTCTAACATCCAAATAATAGGATTTCCAAACAATAACAGAAAGGGAGAGGGAAGTAATCTGAACCAGGGGACCTCAAACTATGCCCCACAGGCCAAATCAACCTACCCTGTTTTTGAAAATAAAATTGTCTGGAAATAGAGCCACACCAATATGTTTAGGTATTGTCCATGCTGCTTGGCCAACGAAACCTAAGAAAAAGTTTTCTGATTTCTCATCCAAAGTAGTCAAGGAAATTTTTAGACATGAGTTTCTAAATTGAAAGGGCCCACTGAACGCCTAGCATAGTGAATGAAAAATGACCCACACCAAAGTATGTCATTGTGAAATTTCAGAATAGTGGAGCAGAAATTCTAAAAGGCTCTAAAGAGAAAAATCAAGAATCACTATGGCTTTTGACTTCTCACCAGCAGTACTGGAAGCTGAAAGATAATGAAGCTATTTCCTTAAAACTTCTTCGGGAAAATGATTTCCAACCTAGAATTCTATACCTAGAAAATGTATCTGTTAAGTGTGAGAGGAGAATAAAGATAATTTAGTACATAGAAACTCAGCCTACTAACAAACAAAACAAGAAAACCTAACAAAGAAAACAAACACTTGGACCAGAAGGGAAAAGTGTGGCACATAGTTTAATCATGGACAGTTTAAATACTCAAAAGCATGCAAACACTAAAGAGTGATCATGAGATGCAGGTTGCAGGCACAGGATAGGTGCATGTGTAGTAGAGAGTGGGTTCCTTATCTAACAGGGAAATAAACAGGAAATGCCTCAAACTAAATGTCAAGAGTAGCAATAAAGCATACCAGAAGGATCAGTTAAAAGAATGGAAGAATGACTGTCTCTAGGGTTTGGAAAAGGGGAGAAGAGAGATGAGGGCTAGCGCCACTGGTCATTAGGACAAACTTTGTAGAACTGTTGGATTCTAAAATATATGTATGTCTATGGCCCTGCTACCCTGAACAAGCCCGATCCCTTCTGATCTTGGAAGCTAAGCAAGGTCGAGCCTGGTTAGTACTTAGATGGGAGACCACCTAGGAAGACCAGGTGCGGTAGGCGTAAAAAATAAATAAAAAAATAAGGGATTGTAAGCTGGCAAGGTCCTTGCAATCTGTGAGGTCAACCAAGGGTTGCCTCACCTAAAAAAAAAAGTGTGTGTGTGTGTGTGTAACCTTTGACAAAAATAAAAACTAAATTAGATAAATGATCAAATTATCTATTTCACTGTATTTAAAAGTTAATTCACAGTGGATCCTAGACCTAAATGTAAAGTTATAAAACTTTTAGAAATTATAATATAGAAAAGTCATACTTGAAAATTCCTTTTCAGAGAGAAATTAACTTTTTTTTCTTTTTGTAAAATAGCCAAGTTCAACTGGGGAACAGAAGACTAAACCCACTCAGAATAGTGTTCGGGAACTCAGAGGCCTTGGGCTTTCCCCGGATCTGGTAAGATTTTTCTCTTCACTTGGTTTCAGCATTATCTTGTGTGTCTAATTAAAATCTCTCCTCTATGGCCAACAGACCCTTTGTTTTCTTGGCGTGCTTTTAGTTAATAGTGGAGAAATAAGTCTAGTGCTGTGAACCAGGCTAAAGTTCATAAAGATGACCGTAACCTGGCATGTGTGTGGCCGTTGTCTCATTTCTTCTCTCAGCCAGTGGTTTAAACTCCTTTTCCCGCACCCAAGAACATTGAGGGAAGCCCAGCTGGTTCGAATGGTTCAGTAATCTGTCTCTTCATTTGTTCTACCACTCTCTTAGGTTTCTCCATTTTGAGATTTAGAAATTTCAGTTTTGAAAACGTGATATTTTCATAATTTGTGTGTATTGTGCTAGGAGTTAGCTTAATAATGTAATAATGTCTGTTTTGATTTCCATCAGGAGAAAAACCCAGCTTTGTAATCCCTTCCTTCTGTCTAAATGTCTTGTTTTCTTTGCTGCCAGGTTGTGTGCAGGTGCTCAAATCCTCTCGACACATCAGTGAAAGAGAAAATATCAATGTTCTGCCACGTTGAACCTGAACAGGTAAGTAGAAATTCCATCTTCATGTGAATCCTTTTTTGCTAAAGTCTCTTAACCAGTTTCATAAGGCTTGTTATTTCAGAATTCGAGACTGTAGACTGTTCACTAGAACTCATACCCGTTGGCTCTGTGATTTTCCATTACCTAATGTCTTGTGGTTCCCCAAACATACCTTTACCTCTCCTGCCTCTTCGCTCCCCACTCCTTGTGCTCTTTGCTCCAACCATGCTGAATGGGTATCCCTGCCACTCCTCCTGACCCCCACCCCACCCCATTTCTCTTGGCCTGATAATCCTGCTATTCATTTTCATCCTTCCGGGTCCAGCTAGGACACAGTATTGTCTGAGAAGCTTTACCTGCTAAACCTCCTCACCCTCGCGCCTCAGGTTAATCCTTCTCTAGGCTCACAGATACTGGTGGTGAGCCCTTTATATGTGTCTGTGTATGTGTGTGTGTGTGTATTTGTCTCCCCTCAGACTTTGAGCTTCTTGAGGGCAAAGACCATCGTATTCAACTTTATATTTCTGGTTCCTAGTACAGGAAATTTAAAATTTTGGAACCTCTAATATATCTAAGTGTGGTACATGGTATAGTAATTCTAGTGATGTTAAGTTGAGACTGTGGCTTTGGTTAGGTTTGGCTGAAGTAGAGTAGAAGGGGAGTTGAGGTCAAGGAATTTATGATTACATTATGGATGCTTTGTTTTACTAGTAGTAGGTTATTTGAGGGTCAGGAGACCCAGCAGGAGGGCCCAACTGGGGAGAATGAAGCAGCAGGGTTAAAATAAGAGAATGAATTTTACAGGGATACTAGAAGTATGGAAGTGAATATAACAAAATTAAAATCACTGGCCTGGCTTTGAAGTTAGTAGAGCAAGAGGAAAGCCTTTGACCATTACGGAGGCAGCTGTCATCTCCATGTCCATGATGGCTCAAGCTTTAGGGAGTGAGGGTAGCCTAAGGCCTGAGGTCAGTGTTCCTGAGTGTGATTCCTGAGCTGGGAGCTCTGTCAAAGGATGCTGCTTCATACTAAGTATGTGGAACATCAGAATAATTCTATTGTTATGAACAGCCTTTTTATTATGCACTTCAATTATTTTAGATATTTCTGTCCTAGCAAATGAAGGTAATTCAATTCTGTAAAAGAATAGGTTGTCATTAAAATTATTCACTTTAAAAAATGTGACAAGTATTTCTATATTTAAATTTTAATTTCAAATCTTATGCCTGTTTTTTAATTGGGTTGCTTGAGTTATAAAAGTTCTTTATATATTCTGAATGTAAGTCTTTTATTGGGGATGATTTGCACATTTTTTTCTCTCAGTCTATGGCTTATCTTTTCATTTTCTTAATAGTATCTTTTGGAGCACAAAAGCTTTTACATTTTGATGAACTCTAATTTATCCATTTTTTACTTTATAGATAGATGCTTTTGGTATCATATCTAAGCACTCTGTTTAACCAAGGTCATAAAGATTTTCTCCTCTGTTTTCTTCTAAAAGTTTTATAATTTAAGATCTTACATTTAGGTCTAGATCCATGGTGAGTTAACTTTTAAATATAGTAACTTTTTTCATTAAAAGTTGAAATACATCTTTTGTCTATAGATATCCAGTTGTTCCAGCCCTATCTGTTGAAAAGACTATCCTTCAATAAAATTCTATAATTTTCTTTTTAAAGTTGCTTGTTAGATTGATTTATCTTTGTAAAGTTGTTCTTTAGATTTATCTAGAGGTGTTCATTTTTGTTACTATAAATTCTCTTGGTTTTTATAGATAAACAATAATTTACACAGTTAGTGTCAGTTGTTTATTATTTTCTAGTTCATTGACATACCCTTTTTTCCTTATCTAATTGTAATGGCTAGTATCTCTAGTACGTCATTAAATAGGAGTAGTGAGAATGGCCAGTTTCGCCTTGTTCCAGACTTTAAATATTAAGCTTTAATATTAAATATCAAACCAAATATTTGCCATGGATTTTTTATATTTTCACATTTTTCCTAATATTTCTAATTTACCAAGAATTTTTATTATGAGTTGGTTTTGAATTTTTTAAAAAAATTTGCATTCGCTGAAGTGATTTTTTTCTCCTCCTTTAATCTATGTATTGAATTCCACTGTTAAATTTCCTGATGCAGTGGTTCTCAAACCCAGTTTTAAAAAGTGCTGATGTCTGCCTTCTACCCCCAGAGATAATGTGGGGTGTAGTGGGCTTATGGATTTTTAAAAGCACCCGCAAGTGATTCCAGTGTACAGCCAAGTTTGAGAACCACTATTTTGGGGACAAACCCTACTTGGACATGATTTTTTTTTTTTTTTTTTTAAGGATTTTTGCATCCATGTTCATAAGAGGTTGGCCACTATTCTATTCTTTTTGAGTTGGTTTTGGTAATTTATATTTTTCTAGAAAATTGCCCTCTTTTCCGTTTTCAGATTTAGAACAGTTATTTTCCCAAGGTTATATGGCTAGTCGGAGGCTGTCAGCCTGGGTTTTGTTTTTATTAAATAACTTTTGCTTGTTTTTAAACAGGTGATCTGTGTCCATGATGTCTCGTCCATCTACCGAGTCCCCTTGTTATTAGAGGAGCAGGGGGTTGTAGATTATTTTCTTCGAAGACTTGACCTTCCTATTGAGAGGCAGCCACGAAGAATGCTGATGAAGTGGAAAGAGATGGCTGACAGGTTTGCCTCATAATAAGGAGCTGGCAGTTCTAGCCTAATTTCTCTTTTTTGTAGGGGCTCAGGGAATTCAGCTCTTACTCGTGCTATCAGTTTGTGTTAGAAAAGATGGTAATGGTAAGGGGTGTTAAGAAAGGATCTCAGTCCTCAAGTAGTTGCATCGTGGATGAGGAAGTCCTGGTAGAGCTAGCCCAGGTCACAATGAGTTCAGATTACATGTCTGTCTCCCATCAACTAGAAAATCAGTACAAACAGGTATCCTAGTGACAGTGGGTTAGTGCACATACCTGAGGCCCACGCAAACAAATGGCTGACAGTGCCTGGAACACTCTTGAGTAGCATCTCAAATAGCTGAGCTGCGTTTGGGAACATGTCACTCACCACACACCAGAAAAGGATCAGCAAGGATCTCCAGTCTTTCCTTACTGCTGCTGCCAAAACTCATCACTTTGAGAATTGTCCCCACTCTTCTTTCCTCCTCTTAAAGCTCTGTGATGCTCACATATCGCATTAGATATTGTTACACAGTGCCTCAGAGCCTGGATGTGCCTTAGTTGTAGTTACAAAGTCAATATGACAGTATCAATGAGCATTTGGGGGGTACTCAATCTATTGCTCTGTGATATTTATTTTCATTTTGACATTTTCCCTTTCAGTCTTTGTCCCTTCACTTGTATATCTTTTGTAGCTACAAAAATGACACATAGTTTTAGGATCTTTTCATAAAATATTATAAACATTTTTGTTCTGTTACTAATTAAACTTTATAATGAAAATTTTTAACGAATATGGACTATTGTGTGAATGTTCTATACTATATTTGACTATTTCCTTCATCACATTAACTCTTAAGAATTGTCTGTTGATTTTTATGCCCTTTGGGATTTTAATTTACTTTTAAAAATGTGTGAAATTTTGAAGCCATCTCTTTGTAACAGCTACTAAAATTCTATTTTCTTAAAAAGCCTGCCACATTGATCTGAAAATTGTTTCCTCTTTCCTGTTCTATACATAGAAGTCAGATAATAGTCCCTCCCATTTTATTCTTCCCAGACTTGTTTTTCTTTTCTTTAAAAGGGAATTTTGATCTCATGGCTATATGTACATAATTTGCTGTTTTTTGACCTTTGTTTGATAGATATGATCGCTTGCTGGAGACTTGCTCTATTGCCCTTGTGGGCAAGTACACCAAGTTCTCAGACTCGTATGCCTCTGTCATTAAAGCTCTGGAGCATTCTGCACTGGCCATCAACCACAAACTGGAAATCAAGGTAAGGGGGTGGGGTGGTGGATATAGCTGGGGCGTGAGCAGGGGGGCCATTTCTAATCTCATTGGTGCTTTATATTTTTGGAGCTCAATTTTTTTAGGAATAAAAGTTCATGGTGGATTCCTGGCTTTGAGAGAACAGTGAGGCATTTTCAGGATATAATGAAGGAGAGAGACATTCAGAGTAGAAGCTGAGAGAGGGTGAATGCTTGGATGTGAATATCAGGTGACCACGTGAAGTTGCCCCGTGGGAATGAGGGGGGCTTGGCTGGCCAGAAGCACGGTACCACTTGCCTCATCTGTGAAGTGGGAATGCTAATGTCCACCACATAGAGCTGGGAGGTTTCTCCAAAATATGCGTTCAGTCGCCCAGCCGTGCCTGGAACATGGGTGGCACCCAGTAGGTAGTAGTTAGTGTGTTCTGCTCTGTGACGTGGTGAGGAGAACCTGAGCCGGTGGAATGTCTGGACATGGTCCCTGTCTGTCTGCTTGAGGCAGTCGAGTGTCAAGAGTCATGGTTTCCAGAGCCACAGAGCCAGGATCCATATTCTGATTCTGTTGCTTACAAGGTATGTGACCCTGGCAAGTTACTTAACCTTCTTTGTGTGTCAGTTTCCTCATCTTTAAAAAGGGATAGTGATAGTACCTTCCTCATAGGGTTATCATAAGAATTAAATGAGTTCATAAAAAGTGCTTAGCACTATGCCTGGCATAAAGGAAGTACTGTCTGTGTTAGCTCTTCTGGAAAGCCTTCCACCTGTCCCTTTTATACTTTTTCCCCCAGCATCATAGCTCCCCAGCTGGAGCTTTTCAGGAGGAGATGTTCTCACCATTGGCACTGGGGTTTGTCGCCTACTTCTTCAGGTGTTTCTCAGCGTGATAATTTAGTTTGCTTTGTGCTGGTGAACAGATTCCTGTAGAACGACCTATTACATGTTTTAAGAATTACGGGATCTCATTAAACTATTCTCGTATTTTTTTGTTCTTTGGATGATTTATTTGCTTTATCTACTTGGAGGTAGTCTGTGCCTACTATTTGTTAGGTGGTAGAAGTAAGAGGTGAATAGAAAGTCAGCAAGATCTCTTTGGTATAACAGGAGCAAACAGAAGATGGATGATCCTGCTATGGTAGATGTGTGAGGAAGGCAGACTTCTTCGTGGAAGGACCCCTGGGTGGGTTTGGGAAGATGGATGAGGCAGATGGAAGAGCATTCCCATCAGAAGGGCCTGGAGACAGGGAATAGTTGAGAATTTAGGACGTGGAAATAGAGAAATTGGAGGATGTCTGGAGACAGGCCGGTGAGGATGTGGCCGTGAATCTCAGCTGAGCCTGGATCCTATCCAGAGGTTCAGGGAGGTCAGTGCAGGAAGCAGAAGGCAGGAGAGAGTAGGAAAACAGTGAACAATCTAAAAAAAAAGTAGGTAAAAGATTTTGACAGACACTTCCATAAAAGATGCACACGGTATATATGAAAAGATGTCCGATACCTTTCTTTAGTTGTCAGGGAAATAAATGCAAATCAAGTCACAGTGACATACCAACATATACCCACCAGAGTGGCTAAGAGTGTTGGTAAGGATGTGGAACTCTCATTGCTGGTGGCAGTGTAAAATGGTACAGCCACTTTAGAAAACAGCCTGGCAGTTTCACATAAAGGTAAACATACACTTACTATATGACCCAACATTTCCACTCCCAGATATTTACTCAATAGAAATGGAAACATATGTCTACAAAAAATTTTTTTATACAAATGGACAATTATTCCTAATAGCCAAAATCTGGAAACAGCTCAAATGTCCAGAATGAGTCAGTAGAGAAACACATTGTCTATCCCCACAATAGAAAACTGATTGGCAATAAAAAGGAACAAACTAGTGTCACACACAGCAGCAGGGACGGATCTCACAAGCATTATACTGAGCAAAAGAAGGCAGACACAGCGGGCTACGCATTGCATGGTTCCAGTCATATGAAGTCCTAGAAGAGGCAAAACCTGCGGCAATAGAAGCAGCCCCGAGGTTATCGGGGACAGGAGGTTGGGAGGAGGTGGTGTGCGGAGGGCACAGGGAATTTGTGGGATGACAGTAATTTTCCATATTTTCATTGAGGTGTGGGGGTCCCACTTTGTGCATCTGTTTGACAAAACTCATAGTGGACACTTAAAATGTTTGTATTTTACTGTATGTAAATTATACTTCAATAAAGTTTGAAAGAGATGAAATGCAGTCTGGATAGAAGAGAGATGGGGAAAAATTGAACAGAAAGAACACTTCAGAGTCTACTCCAGTGGATCCTAAAGAGATGAAGCATCGAGCAGATAGAGCTGGATCGGGGCGTTAAATGATTTTGAAGGACACACTTACATTTTAAAATATGAGAAAGGTTTTAAAGTTTATTTTAAAATTATTATTAGGTTTAAGTATATTAAGACTATCATTTTAAAACTATTTTAACATTGAGACAGTTGGAACATTGATACTGATACTTAGAAATTATGAAAGAACACGGCTCTGGAGTCACGAGCCTGCTTCTTTTCCCCCCGTCTGAACCCTCCCCAGTACATCGATTCTACGGACTTGGAGCCGAGCACCTTACAGGAGGAGCCCGTGCGCTACCACGAAGCCTGGCAGAAGCTCTGCAGCGCCCAGTAAGGAGTTTCTCTGCCTTCGGTTTCCAGCAGCTTCGGGGCTGTTTTAATGGGCAGAGAGCTATGCTTTCATGTGCTGGTAGTAGACGTAGTTGTTTCAGTATCTTTTAATTATTGGAAAGACTGCATACTGGATGATTTAAGCCTTAAAAAATACAGCTTATCAAAGTAGTTGTAAATGGGAACTAAATGAAGGAGGGTAGGAAAACTTAAACTTTGAAGTACTGAAAAGAATGTTATTTCTAAAATTGAATCTCAAGAGAACGCTTTCTAATTTTATTGATGTTATTTGTTGTGTGCATCTATTGATGAGGGTTATTTAAAGATTATCGAGATCCCATGAATAGGATCCCATGAATAGTTTGTTTTCAGCACTGTTATTTGTGATAGTAAAACATTAGCAAGAATTTCTAGTTTACTAGAACAATTGAATGTTATGATGCCATACAACTCTGACTAAGACCTTAGGTCAGTGTGGCACTCTGACCCAATGAGGAAAGGCCTCCTTCCTACTTGGGGAACATGTTAAGCCAAGAGGTAAAAAAATTGCATTTATATTAATATATGTTAAAAATAGGAATGAGTCCGCGCCTGGGACAAATACTGTGTGATAGCACTATTATAGTTATGTATGCCATCTTTTTTTTTTTTTACGTCATAAGCATTTTATAATGTCACTAAGAAAAAAACCATGGTTTTGTGTGCGTTTTCTAAGTTCATAGTGTTTACGTATAGCTCATTGGCTGTCCCGAAATCAGTCACAGTCCAGTAGCAAAGTATAGGAGTAACTTCATGGCATCAATGTCTTGGAAACGGCCCGCTGGGTGGTTATTGTGAGCTGGACTGGTGGAAGGGGGGCTCACCTCGTGTGCTCTCTTGAACAGTGGAGTGCTGGTTCCAGGGGGATTTGGCGTTCGAGGCACGGAAGGAAAAATCCAAGCAATCGCCTGGGCTCGGAAACAGAAGAAGCCTTTTTTGGGTAAGAAGTAGGAAAGAGCAAAGAACGTGCCACGTGGGAGCCTGTAAATAAAATGGGATTGCCAGAACCAGACACAGGTGCCGTCTTTCCAGATAGCAGCTCACACCAAAGCCTCGTTGGTTCTGTTTGGGAGAAATTCAAACTCTCCTTCAAAATGAAAACTTCAAAATTTGGAGCTGTGTGCAGACTAGATGTCGTGGAATTTTCGGAGAATGAATTCGGTTAGGCAGTCTTGTCCATTTACTGAACCCAGCTGTTGGGCATGGCATGGGAGACTGTTTTCCATCCTCACTTGGAACGCCAGCTGACTGTAACTGGGCGAAGTGATTTGGGATGATTTCTCATGCTGTAAATTTGAGTGATTTTCAATTTGACCAATTGTAAATGGGAACTAAATGAAGGAGGGTAGGAAAACTTAAACTTTTAAGTACTGAAAAGAATGTTATTTCTAAAATTGAATAACTTCCAAAACCTGGAATCTTCGCATACACTTAGATCTGGTCTTTGAAATCTGATACAGATAAAGTGTAGCGGGGTCCTTGTTTACGGCAGGAAGTTATGAGAATCTGGATTGGAATGCTGTGAACAAACAGGACGCAGTCTGTGGCAGGCCGGTGGGAAATGTAGGAATGCTGCCTTTTCACTGGAACTTCATTTGATTTTCTCTCCCATCCTCAAGGTGTGTGTTTAGGAATGCAGTTGGCAGTGGTTGAATTTTCAAGAAATGTGCTGGGATGGCAAGGTAATTGTCTACTTAAAAACTTGTTAAGTTCTTGCTTAAATATTCCTAGAAGATGTGAAGCCTGGTGCCTGCTGGGTGATTGGGAGCCATGGAGAAGGACGGGCCTGGTCTCCCAGTACCTCGTGGGGCGCGGTAGCAGGGAATTGCTGCGTTTATGGAGGGAAAGCAGGGCTCCTCCAAGTGAACCCCGGGAAGGAGAGAATGCCACTGAGCAAGCAGCCTTGGCTCTTCCCTTGTGTTTCCTGCTCTGGAGATTCTCACACTTCAGTTGCCATCGTCACTGTCGCTCAGCTTTTGTCCAGTAAGAAAACTCTGTGAGGCTGTGCAGTTATTATGAACTCAGGCTGTGGAGCCAGTCAGAGCTGGGCTCAAATTCGGACGTTAGCATTTTTTGTAGGAGATTTTAGGCAAATGATTCAGGCTTTCTGGGCCTCTGTTTCTTCTGTAAAATGGGATAATAATGATACCCACTTCACATGGTTGTAAGTATTAAATGAATATTGCATGTAGGTAGTCGCAGCACAGGGCCTGGCAAATAGGAAATAACGTCGGCTCTGTGCCCAGCCAATTGTATTACTGTGTCCAGACCACTCCAAAACTCGGTGGTGGCTTCCAGTGATGGTTTATTCTTTCTCAGTATTCTGTGGGTTGACTGGTATTCTGCTTCATGGGGTGTGTCTGAGATCACCCTCCCCTGCATTCAGCTCTGCCCAGCAAGGACATCGCAAAGGTCTTTTCACGTGGCAACTCATCAGTCACTAATTCAAACCGAGCTTCCTCACAGCATGGAGACCGACTGGCTTCCAAGTAGTGCAAGCACCTATTAAACTTGCTAATGTCCCACAGCCACGTCCAAAGTCAGTGGTCGGGGGCGGGGTGGGGAGGGGAAGGGTGGTGGGTGAGATGGGGCAGGGGGACAGGTAGGAGGGAACAACCATGAGGTGTGAATACTGGCAGTGTGGTTCACTGGGGCCACCCTTGGGAGAGTCTGTCCCAGCCCCTTTATTCTCTCTAGTCCAGCCAACAAATACCAAGTTTTCAGAAAGACCTGCGAGCTCTAAGAAAAATAAACAAAGCAACCTAAAGGAATGTACAAGTGGTCTGGCTTTACAAAGTACAAGTGGTTCTTCTGTGGCCAGCTTGCTATTAACAGGCTGGGCTCAGTTCACATTTTTTCTGAGAGGCTGCTTCACACTAGGGAGGTCGGCTAAGTTTTGTAGGCAGTGTGCCCGTTAGTTCTGGCCTCTGAACTGGCAGGTACTGTCTTACCATCCACCACCTAGAGCTAGCCCTCTGGGCACCCTGGACCCTTCCACAGCCGTCACCTCCACCCACTCGGCCTCCCAGGTGGTGAGTGACCTGGTGATGAGCTTTCCTTCAGTTGAGACCTGGCCTGGGTTTAAGGCCCAGCAGGGGAACGATACCTAGCATATTCACATAGAACCAGACACTCAGCACCAGGAGCTTAGTGCTTTTCCTTTTAATTTTTAGTGGTTTTGCTTATGGTTAGGTGGCAAATTCAGTGAAGGATAGAAAGGTTATTTGGGTTTTGAAATCAACTAATTTCTGATTTAGCTATTGAGTGAGGAAAGTCGAGTAGGGCAATGTATAAGATGCTGAGGGTAAAAAGAAATAGTACTCACCCATCTTGGAGGGTGACAGTCTTAAATGAAAAGTGTAAAAAATTGAGACAGTATGAGAACTGTCATAAGGATTCATTATCTGACTAAAGAGTATTAGATTATGTTCCCATTTTATACAGCTTGACCTCCATCCAGCGAGTTTAAGATTTAATGCAAAAAATTCATCTGCATGTGTGTGTGATTTTTTTTTAATGTTATCCCTAATTTTTGTTCTAAACACTGAATGACTTTAAACTGAGGAAAGAAATTATGATTTAGAGCTTAGGAATTAAACTTTTAAATAATCAGTTTTGTTCATAATTATTTTCTTAACATAAGTATTTTGATTCCTCAGATGCCAATTCTACAGAGTTTGACCCCAATACCAGTCATCCTGTGGTGAGTCCAGTGTTTGAATCTCACCAGGGCATAGAAGGGTGTGGAAGGGATGTTTATGAACGTGGTTGATGATGGTTAGAGACAGCAAATGAGACCACTTGGGTTCATCCCAAAAAACCCTGAGGTCCTGCACATTCACACCTACCTCATAGGAAGAACTTGTTTTTTGTTGCATAATTTCCCACCACTCTTCCTAGTTTGCCGAAGAAAGTTTTAAGGACAGGTACCAAGTAGATGATCCTGATTAAAATAATTCTCCATCCCAACGCCCCTTACCTCCCAGGAGCACCTTATAATAATACGGATATGAAACACTTAGAGGCAGTTATTATATGCCAAGCACTGTTCTCACTGCTTTATATATATTGATCCATTTAATCCCCAACAACTCTGGGAGAGGGGCATATTATTAAAGAACTGCTGGAATATAGTCCTGATGTATCTAATAGTAACGAAAGCTTTGTGAGGCCGGCATACCTCGTTATATCTCCTATCACAGGAATGTGGTTCATGGGGGAGGCACAGTGCCTTTATTTGCCTTTGAATCCCCAACCCAGGGGTGGCAGGCCTGTTCTTGACACTGAGGAAGCTGTGACGAACAGGATGGACAAAGCTCTTGATCTCGGGCACTTCAGTAGCATCAGTACATGTTTGTCGACTTGAAATTGAACTTTGCTCATACTCAGACCTTAGGAGGAAGAGAGCAAAGGTTTTGAATTGTAGTGGGGTGGGGAGGGGGCGGGGCATAGAAAAGGTCCTCAAGGCCAGACAGCGCTCAGAGGAGCACAGGACCGAGTGGTAGGCTGGACTCCGGGCTGAGGTGCCTCAGCTTCTCCGTACTGTAGATAGATGTTTACTAAGCCCCCGCTGGGACTGTCAGACCCCAGATGAGCATCCCTCCCCTCTGAGCAGGTCAGCAGGCTAGCAGGGGAGACACGTTATAACATATCCTGTCTGGGGTCCTTCATGCAGCTGTGTCAGCCCTTGTGCGAACATGCCATAGCCCAGCAGCACTTACGATCCACAGCGCTGGGGGCAGGAACAGCCACCAAGGGAAGGACCAGACACAGCTGTTCCTGTAGCTCATGAGCTAAAGGATTCATCCCCTACCCACTGAAAGTTTAAAAGTGATTATCGAGAGGTATTTTCCCCTGTGACAAACATCTCTTACAAAGCAAGCCTGGGGATTAGAGCCTCTTCACAGGTTTATTTCATTCAGTGCTGGCTGGCTGGCTGTCTCCAACGGAAGCAGAGTTTGTAGTGCATGTCTGTGTTTTGTACATCTCCAGGTCATAGACATGCCAGAACACAATCCTGGGCAGATGGGCGGGACCATGAGGCTGGGCAAGAGGAGAACGCTGTTCCAGACCAAGAACTCCGTCATGAGTAAGAGCTGCCTCCCCCTGGCCCAGCCTTTGGCTCAGCACCTCCAGGATGCGTGTCTTGGGGTGGTGCTGGGCTCTGGCATTTTGGGTTCTGTTCTTGCTTTTGAAATTCTTTGTTTTACTTTCCTATTCATGCTCTTTTAGGATGCACTGTAATATGGCAGTGTGGGTCTTAGAAAGGTCACAGGTCGTGCAGGCAGGGACTGGGGGACCTTGGGTGTGGATGACTCACCAGAATGAGGCAGTTAGGTGAAATCTATTGTAATCTGTTTCTTTCCTATGCTATTAGATTGAACCGTATGAAGCTGCCATTTTTGGGGGGACAGAAATTGCCAACATCATCAATTTATATTTAAAATGGTCCTAAATATATTTGATTCAAAAAATACCAAGAGGTGCTAAAGTTTTAAGGAAAATTTGAGGAGGAAAATATTTAAGAAAGTTTATTCGGTTTTATTTTCTTGCCCACTGGGAAAATTCTGTCTGCATCAGCACGGGCACCCTTGTGTCTGTCTAGGGGTTTGGTAGCAGCATAGTTTGAGTCACTTGAGGTGATCTTTCAGTCCTTCCATCTCTAATGTCCTGCGCACTTGGGAATCTCATCTGGCAGCCACAAGTGAGTCCGTAAAGCAGCCTGCTCACTTGTTCAAGGGCCGCCACCAGCTGCTCAGGAGCTCTGACAGCTGTGACACCGCCACAGCGCTGGCCCCGAGGGTCATCTCTGTAGCTCTTAAAACAGGGCATTGGACTTTTGGTGCATCCCGATTTGTTTTTCAAGGCAGTTTCCAGCAGAAAAGTGTTTTGTACCTCAGAAATCATGTGTTGGAGGGTGGTGATGAAAGTCTGTTTCTGTTACAGTTTTTCTTGGTGTGGTCAAACTGCCAAAACCTAAGAATTATTCTGAATGGTGCTACGACGAGCAGGTGGCTGTCGTTGGCAAGAGAATCCTAGAAATAACCTTCAAAAGGCCTGGCTGTGCAATGATAGAAAGTGAAGTGGGAAGCAGGAAACAGTTGTAAATAGGTTTCGTGTGTGTGTGTGTGTGAGAGAGAGAGAGAGAAAGCGAGTGTGAGAGAGCGTGCGCATGCAGAATTCTCTACATCAGCATGCTTTTTATTTTTTTGCCAGGGAAACTCTATGGAGATCCAGATTACTTGGAAGAGAGGCACCGCCACAGATTTGAGGTGAGGAATTGAGCTTTGACATTTAAAAATTGTCTCTTTCTGTTACTTTGGAAACCCAGTAAGTCTAGAGGCCAGCAAAATTATTCCTCGTGCTTCAACAGGTGAATCCAGTCTTGAAAAAGTGTTTGGAAGAGCAAGGCTTGAAGTTTGTTGGCCAAGATGTTGGAGGAGAGAGAATGGAAATTGTGGAGTTAGAAGGTGATTCCTTGGGCAATTGTATTTAATGGAAGACTTAGTAAGGTTTTCTTGGCATGTGGGAAAATATAAAAATATTAGTTGTCGCCCTCGTCCTAACAGACTTAGGAAGCAGCACTGTCTTAGGAGGGGAGTGGTCTTGGTAAATGAGGTGTCTGGAGCCCTGGGACACCAGGGGTCCGCAGGGACGAGCTTTGTACCGTAGCCTTCCGTAGGCAGCTGTTTCACCTCTGGCCTCAGTTCCCTGTTCTCCAGAATGAGAGCTTGGACTTGGTACTTAAGCCCCGCTTCTGATCTAATGTGACCTGCATGACTCAATCCCTTGGAAGTCCAAGGAGCCGGGGACAGGAACCAGGAGAGAGGGTCCCTTCAGCCCGGAGGGTGGCAGCGTGATAGGGAGAGGGCATCAGATCTCCCATGCCCTGTGGTCACCTTTACCCAGGTTCCAATTAAGAAGCTGTTTTCAAGTAATTTTAGGGTCTGTGGAAATGCGAAACATTTAACAAGATTTTTTTCTCCTTTTTTATATTTTACGTGTACGTAAGTAATGAAGTTGTTTCTTTGCATTTCTGTTTCAGATCATCCCTTTTTTGTTGGAGTTCAGTACCACCCCGAGTTCTTGTCCAGACCTATCAAGCCTTCCCCACCCTACTTTGGCCTCCTCCTAGCATCCGTGGGGAGGCTCCCGCATTACCTCCAGAAAGGCTGCAGGCTCTCGCCCAGGTGGGGTCCCGCTTCTCTCGTCCTTCAGGTGGTCACTGGGTCATTACAGCAAGCCATCACCCCTTTAGTGATGAGCAGAGCTGTAGGAGCTGGGGCCCGGCTAGGCGCCTTCACACTGACATGCAAGTGACCTCTCCTTGCCCAGGGTTTTCTCAGGCTCCTTCTGTGCTGCCCAATACCTTCCCCCGGCATGGTGGTCAGGTCCCCCTCTCTGTAGCATCTGGGTTCCAGGATCACACTTGTAAGTAGGACGCTATGGTCCTAAGGGAACTGTGGTTTTTCCCAAGGTGTCCGCCACAGCCTGGGTGGTCTCATGCCCTGGCGCACCTTTGTCTGAAACCAGTTAACTACTCTGAGTTGGTGGATTGGGTATCATGACTGAAGCAGAAATTGAATGTGTATCTTTTGTAACTAGGAGAAGAAATTACAGCTTTGTGCTAAATATATAATGTAGTAGAGAGTCTGATTTCTGCGTGTGCAGACAAGTCCCCGTGGAAACAGTAGCTCCAAAAGCAGGACTGTAAAGCGAGTTTTTGGTGGGAGATGATGAATAGACTGTGTGAATTCTACAGGGACACCTACAGTGACCGAAGCGGAAGCAGCTCCCCTGACTCTGAAATCACTGAATTGAAGTTTCCATCAATAAATCATGACTGATGGTAACGTATGTGATATTTTTAAGCTTTCGTTTAGTTTTAGAATTGTAAGACTACCATGAGTTTAGTGTTGACAGTTTTTATCTGTCAGAGAATAAAAGTGGTAAGGTCAGCATGGGCATCCAACGGTGAGACCCCTCCAAGTACAGTGCAGTTACCCACCCTGCTTTGCGACTCCAGTGGGGGGCATCAGTCCCTGGGCAGTTGTTTCCTAACTGATTCGGGTGCTGATGTGACCATATCTGGGGGAAGCGGATTCTTAGCCCCTTGTTATTTCATGTATCCATAAACTCAGAGATCTTGGAGGAAGTGACAAGTGTGACAATATGGTATATGTAATTTTTGCAGGATTTTAAGCTTTTATCAGGAAGCGCTTTAAAACTGAACACTTTTATGTTGATTGCAGCTTATTCTGGAAATCCCTTAAAATCCAAATCATAATTGAACAAACTTTGAATGTTTGTCTTCATAGTGACAGGATTTGTTAAGTGTATAAAGTGTAATAGCTGTGGCCACTGCCATGAATTGTATAAAGTCCTGTTAAGATAAGTGAGTGAACTATGTCCGCAAAAATACATAGTCTGCTGGTGAGGGTATCAGAAGGGGGTTAGGGGTATCAGGCATCTGGGGGATCCGAAAGGAGAACCGGGAATGTGGTGTGGTCCCACATCTGTGTATGGGTCCCAGCACAAGTAAGATGAGCTCCTGCCCAGGGGCCGGGCAGGTAGCCTCCCTGACTCCTGCACGCCTTGCATTCCCCACCAGTGGGCCTCTGCACTGTGCAGGTCTTGTCCACTGGTCAGACGACTCTTCTGCTTTTGCCTTGTTTGATTAGCCAGCTGGCCTGTGATAACCTCAGTGGGGCGGGCGGGCAGGGGAAGTAGGTTTGTATCGGGAGGACGACAGTGGCTGCTTACTCTCTGCCAGATGAGCACGTAGCTCCGATGGACTCATTGATCTTCTTCACAAGATAGTGTGCTAGAGGCTGTTTGATAGTCTAAGAAACTGCTTCCAGTAAAAAGGCAGCTTTAAAGGGGTAGGAATTTGGTCGGTGAGGTGGAATTTCTAACTGCCTCACTGAGGGGAGAGTTTGCTGTCAGTGTCCCTGTTAAGAGGCCGGGTGCTGTGAAAAAAACGCTTGTCTTAGGGCGGAGGTAGAGGTTCATGTAAGAGCTTGGAAATGTGTGATTCTATAGAAATTATAAATTTAGCTTAGAATTATTCATATTAGGCGCCTACCACTGGTCTTCAATGAGAAATGGGTATAGCTTACCATAGCTGCTGACTGTAAATTCTAACTTTTCTACTTTAACATCCATATATCGTATAATTGCTGATTTTTTTTTTTAAGCAGGGTGATTCTTCAAGAGAGCCTTCAGACTTTGAGAGTTTACAGCTTTGATTTTACACTCGGCTTTTTCGACACTTCCTTTAAATTATGTTTTTATTAAGACTATTTTATTATGGGGGAAAGGTATTTGGAAGACTGTGTAACTTGCATGTCCCATCATGTGTATCGGCTCCTATGTGGTGTGCTGCCTGGTGTTGACACTCTCTTTTTCAGTCCCCCAGCCTCAGACAAGAAACAGGACATCTGGGCAGGAGCAGGTGACAGACGGGTCTAGTGGAGTGCCCGTCAGTCACCTCATTTCTCCATCCACCTCGAGTCAGTGTGGATTCGAGAGTGTAGCCTGTTGCTTCCCCAGGGAGGCCTAGACCATATAAAGAGTGTGCCATGTGTACTTACTGAGCATGGAGGGGTAATTTTAGCTAATGCTTACAACACTCGGTGCTGGTAACCTGAGGGCACTGCTTGCTGCCAAGAGCAGTGAAACTAGAAACAAAGCCTCAGCACTGCCCCACACCGTGGGGGTGGCTGGGACTCGTTGTTCAGAGGGATGGTCAATTTGGTGTCACATGAAACAGCAAGAAGTCTTTGTGTCTCTGAAGTATGATTTTACAATCCCTGTCCTCTGGCCGAGCTTCTCTCCTGGGGCTGGGAAACACTCCTTGCATCAAGGGGTCACTTAAAAAAGAACAGAGAATCTTTTGGGGAGACTGCCTCTGAAACCCTCTCACATGCAGACAGCTTTGCTCGAGGGGACTTTTCCTTCCAAGATGTTACTGCAGTTGAAATGCAAAATGAAAGTCTATTTTCTTTACGTGATGTGATAGGCACAGCTGTGTGCCCATTATATTCTGCTTGGACTTCGTGTATACTCTAACTTAAGAAATAAATAATACAGAACAAGAGACATGCTTTGTCTGTAAAGCTCTTTTTGTCACGGCTGGATGCAAAATGTCTAAGCACGGTGCCCGACAGGCCTCTGTGCAGTCACCTGAACTGTCAGTCCCAGGCTCTCCTCCAGGTGAGCAGCCTTAAGTGGATAATCTGATAGTTTAAAAACTGAGAGGAGCCTTTTTAATGGGAACCAGAATTCCCCCCAAGGCTTCAAATTTAGATTCTTAGCATAGAAAGATAGAGATTCAAAGAAACACGGGTGCCAATTACACTGTTTGATCTTGAGGAAGTGGTGAGTAGACGTGTTATTTATGCAGGAGGGCCTTCCCTCTGTCGGGCAGGGACCTGGCCCCTCACACACGTGGCCAGGGACCTCTCTGTCCCCTGTAGGTTCTCTGCTCCCCCAGCCTCCCGAGTCCAGGTCATGGTCCTGAGTGGTTTTTCCTTTAAAGTGAACTTAGCGATACTGAATCTGCAGCATGCTCCTTATGGCGTGTTGCTGACATTGGCACCTACCTACCCACCCACCCTCTGGCTGCTGAGCACACCTCATGAGCTGTCTCCTCTGCAAAGTCTGAGGCAGAGGCTCAGGGCTCAGGCGAGGTTGCTTGTCAGTGGTCAACCACCTTTACTCAGTGATGTTTGAGAAATTAGGAGTCGGGGAGCAAATGTTTTCTTCTCACCATTTGGCCCAGCGCCTCCATCAGATCTGGAAAAGAAGTGGGCACCCTGTTATCCTTCCACTCACTACTTAGTCCAAGGCTGCTGGTGTTCCTGCCTCCTGACCAAGAGCAACCCGGCTGCCTTTGTCTGGCTCTGTTTCTTATGGACCAAAATAAAATTTACTTACAGAGGTCTTCATATCCATCTTGGTACTTTGTGGCTGATTGGGTGGATTCTAACCTCCTTTCCTACATAGTGGTCCCATCACACAGTTTTCAGTTATATTTTACAACCCATTCTCCAAACTGAGGACTCTGACATACCCCTTGGTGACAGCACTGCTCCCTGTAACTGAGGACTTGGTTGGGTGTGGGGTGGTTTGCAAAAGCCTCACAGTGGTTAGATGTTCCCGCCTCTGCTTTTAGGGGTGCTTCAAATGACCAGTTATGTGCTGGCTACTTGCATAACTTTTCCAGAAAAGGAACCCCAAATGCCTTTCCAGGGCTTGCAAAGCCTGACCCACCCTGCCACCCTGGCTGTGGCAGATGAGACTGTATGGGGAATGAGGGCTGAAGTCGAGATTGTACAAGAGGGTGGCCTTCCATACCCGGTACCACTGACCAGTACCCAGAGGCTTCTTGGGGAGAAAACCTGGCAAAGTTACTCTAGTGTCCTTCACTTCAACCTAGGTGATCTGGGCAGATTCATAGCAGTCTGGAGCAGCTCAACCACACATGGCTTCATGCTGCCTTTGTAGAACCAGCTATTTCCCAATAAGCATTTCTGAGGATTATGATGCTTGGGCTAGCATTTAGCATGCAAGCAGGAGAGGGGGTAATGGCAGTGCTGGGGAGGGGGTTATAATTTTAAATAGGGTGAGTAGAAAATTTCTTTTCCTGTCCACTTGAAGGTGGAAAGGAAACAGGAGTTAAGCAGCTATGTCGGGGAGGAACATTCCAGGCGGGGAAAGCAGCCAGTGCAAAGGCCCTGAGGCACGTGTGCTCACGAAACAAGTTGGTCAGTGTAGCTGGAATGAATGAGCAAGGGGCAAGAGGAGTTGAGGGCAGATGCATCAGGTCATGGAGTATTGTGTAGACCACAGTTTGGGCTTTGCTCTTGATAAAAGGGGGAGCTCAGGAAGGGCTTTGAGCCAGGCTTGTCCTGATCAGACACTGGCTTTATAGAGTCTTTGGCTCTGCTGGTGGAGGTAGTAGGGGAGATGGCTGAGCAGGGCTCCTCTCCAATAGCTGGAGGGTGCTTGGAATAGAAGTCAGACCCTTTCTGTGCAGGTGCTGATGTGTGCTGGAGAGACACCGTACCAGCCTAATGATGACAAAGTGCATTGCCACTGTCTTGCAGATAAAGAGACAGAAGCAGAGAGGTGTAGCACTTTGCCCCACGGTACCCAGCCTTTAAGGCAGAGCTGAGACCCGACCATCTGGGTTCCTTCCCCATCAGCTCTGTGTGGTAGGAGCCCAGGGCTGGCTCGGCTCGGACAGAGGGGCGCCGGGTAGGGGACTCGACCCAGCTGCATCAGCTGGCTGGCCAAATGTCCTAGAAATAACTATTCCTGTCCCTGGTCCATGTAATTTATTGAAGAGCTGTGACAATCACAAGTTCCAACAAGCCAGGGGTGGCGGCTGCAAGGTAGCCCGTTCGCTGTGTACCCACAGTTACCGGATGTGCCTTGCCATCTGCCGAGCGGCTGTCCCAAGATGACATATTCCTTTCTGGTCCTGTCTAGCCAACTGGAGTCATTGACTTCAGCCTGGGCAAAACGAGCGTTTTAGGGTGAGGGACAGTCCCCCCTTTAGCTCAGCCCTAGGATAGCTCCGGCCAACTTTTTACAAGTTCTTTCTGAAGGTGAGATCCCTTGCGGATGGTGCTATGAGCAATTTCTTAGCTACACAGACCGGGGGCTGCTCAGGATTGAAGCCACGTGGGGATCAGCCCGTGTGTGCAGTGTCGCAGCAGGAGTCAGGAAGCATGGTGCTCCCATCCGCTTCTGAGCAGCCAGATGAGTTTTATTGGGAGGACTTTGGCTCAAATAGGAAATCCCTGCATCTCCCAGGTAGAGCGCCAGCTTCCGCTTGCTGCCCTCACTGCCCGCTGGGTCCATCAGAGGACACAGCAGGTGCAGGAGACAGGCCTCTGCTGCTGCAGCTGCTTCTGGAGCTGCTCCTTCTCCACCGTCAACACCTTTATCCTCTCCTCCAGCTTGCTCAGCTCTGCCGTCCACTTCTGAGGGGACATCATAGAAACATGTCGAAGCTGACATCATCTCAGACCCGCACACCCTCTACCGAGGTTTGAACTAATGGAGGAAGGCGAGGCCCGGGTGGGGGTGGGGGCTGCTCGAGGCCACTGGACACTGTACTGGCACTGTTAGGTGGAGAAGCCAGGTCCCCTGGCCATGCAGCCACCCCTGACCCAGTCAGCCCTGGGATCTCAAGGGAAGCTACCTGACCTGAGGGTCAGGCCTGCATCCCAGAGCAGCCTCCTCGAGTACCAGGGTTAGGCTCAGAGGCATCCTTCCCACCACGTCCTTCCCTTTCTCTCTCTGTCAGCCCATTGCCCTCCTCTGCTTTTCTGCTACCTGATACCTCCTCTTGAAAAAGCTTTTCCTTGGGACAGTGTCCAGCACTCACTGGCCCCCATCTTGAAGGCCTCTCCAAAGATGCAGTATATAGTCCGTGTGGTTGTCTTAAAAGTTCTCAATATTCTACTCTCCTGGCTCCTGCAGCCACACAGCAGTGGAATACAGGAGGTAGTGGGGTTATTTCATGGGGCAATGGAGTACCAGGGGAAACCTGAGGGCTTGCCCAGGACTGCTCAGTGAGTGGTCAAGTGGCCCAGGGCTAGCTTGGCCCCCTATCCTGCCTGCCCAGCCTCTGCACTTACCTGCCTGCACCACTCTTGGATGGCGTGGACGGCCAGTGGGCCCTGGATGCTCCCGTCACGCCGCAGGAACACCTCCCCTTGGTCTGTCTCATAGAGCTGTAGCTCAGCCTGGGCTTTGGGGGTGTGCACGCTCAGGCGGATCACCTGGGCAGGGGCAACAGCAGCTCTGGTGGACACTGCACTGGACAGCTTCCAGCCTCAATCCTGCCTTACTTGTTCCTAGTTCACTGGCTCCTGGGGGCAGCCTGGTGAGGCTGGGGCAAGGCTGTTTCCAGCATCTTCTCCAGTCACCCATTTCCTTGATGCCTCTTCACACACACACCCCACCCCCGCTCCCACCCAGCACTGCTCAGAGTAGATGTGGGCCATCACATGTAGAGTGAATACATGATGGACAACACGACAGCCCTGGAGGCCTTCCTGTCCTGCAGCTCACCTTGAGGGGCGTGTTGGTGGAGGTGCTGACCACGGGGATGAAGGTGAGCGTGTAGGCGTTGGGGAAGACCTGGGGCCTAAAGCTCTGCAGGATGGAGTCCACCAACAGGCGCACGCGGTCCTCATCTCGGTGGCTGCAGTGGATGCCCTGCACCAGGCCGCTGTCCTCGACGCCCACGAACAGGCTGCCGCCCTCGCTGTTGAGAAAGGCACACACGTAGCGCCGCACGTGGTGCTTGAAGGCCAGGCTCAGGTACTCGCCACCACCCCGCTTGAACTCCACGTTACGTGTCTCGCTGCCCAGGAAGGCACCCTGGAAGAGCCGCTCCTGGCCCCGGATCTCCTGGTACACGATGGCGCTGTCCGAGCATGTGCCACTGGGTCGCTGCTGGTAGCTGGGCTGCCCTGGGGCCCAAGCAGGTGGTGTGTTGGTGAGTCTGGCCAGTGGGAGGCCGCAGCCTGAGCTGGGGCCTGGGCTGGGGCCTGGACTGGGGCCCGGGCTGGGGCCTGGGCTGGGGCCTGGGCTGGGGCCTGGGCTCTGGCCAGAACTCGGGCCGCTGTCCTCCTCCTGCTGGGGTGGGGCAAAAGTCAGGAATCCCGACCAGGACATTGAGAAAGACGGGCTGCCGGAACCTCCACCTCTGCCCCCCGGGGCCCAGCGCACTCAGGCAACCCCATGTCTTCTCCCAGACAGAAGGGTCTAATTCTACTCGGTCCTGCAGCCAGTGCAGGAAACCCCGCTAGGGTCAGCAGTTCAGACCAGCCACTGCTCCTTTCTGCCTGGGCTGCCCTCTGGACTGTGGGATGCACGACAGGTAAGAGCTCCACTTCCCGAGGCCAGGCACTGGGACACCTGTGGGCCAATCTCTTTCCACTTGGGCTGTGGTTAGGCCTGTGAGTCCCAGGACTGCATCATTGCAGGAGATACCTCAGTGTCTTGAGGTGCCGTGTGACAGAGCTTCAGGTCTCTGAACTGAGAGAGGCTCCCAGAGACCCCACCCCCTTCTTAATCTTCCTGAAACCCTTGATCACTTTCTCGACCATTGGCCAGTCCTGAATCTCAACTTTCCTTGGGCCCTCCTGAGTCCCCTTCCATGATTTCTGCTCTGTTTGGGGGCTCTGGTCATGAACTCATGGCCATTTTCCTGGTCTGGGGTGCCCCTGCCTCCAGGCTCTCCCTGTCCCACTATCCTCCTCACTGACCCCAGGCGTAACTCAGATTATCACTCCCCTCCTACTGAGTTCTCTGCTGCCTTCCAGGCTCTAGAAGCGGCTCCCAGGGCTGAGAGCTCAGTGTGGGCTGGGACATGGCCACGAGGGGCATTTTCCTACTAGTCCTGTAGCTCTCAAAGAAGACAGAAATGTGAGAAAACTCACACAAATATGAAATCAGGCTCACAGGTCTTAAAATGTATGTCACAGAGCTGTTTAGTTCTGTGACAATTTAAACATTATGGAGTTTCCACCCCTAAAATGATAAACCAAGATGATTGGTCTCATGGAGTGACCTGCACAGCCTCAGTGAGCTGACTATTCCCTCCCGTCCCCCACTGAAGCTAACCTTTCAGCCCCGCTCTGCTCCTGGGGTGCAGAGCCTGCGAGCCCTAGTGGCCTTGGGGAAGCCTCACTTACCTCTCTGCGGTTTGTGGGCCCCCGGCCCTCACCCAACACCAGCTCCTTCCCGCGGGCCACCAGCTCCTTGAGGATCTGGTGCTCTGCCAAGGCAGTTTGCAGGCGCCAGGGAAGGGAGGTTAGGGTGTCCTTGTGGGTGGCCACTTGCACCAGCGCATAGGCCTTGCGCGGCCGCCTCACGACCTCAACGTGCTCCCGTGCCACTGGCAGCTCTAGCCGCTCCAGGGTGTCTCGCAGCAGGCAGGTGAGCACTGGCACAGAGAACTGGGGGTTCAGGTTGCCCACGTAGAGAACATGTGTGCTAGGAGCTGCCTCAAGGCCTGAGTCCTCAGGCATGGACTCTTCTGCGGGGAGCTCTGGCAGGGGCTGCTTGCCTGGGGGCTCCATGTGGGGCTCCTGCACCTGTGTTTGTGCTGCTCTCTTCCTGGGGGTCTCTAGAGGGGTCTCCCTCAGAAGGGCTTCCAGGATTCCTTACTGCTGGCTGTTCTTCCCAGGGCCCTGGGCTCTCAGCTTAGCCCAGGGCCTCCCAGGGGACTCAAGGGGTGCCAAGACTCCTGGGAGGTTCACAGATTGGCAGGGGCTGGGCAGGGCCAGAGAGAGAGAGGGCGGGCAGAGGGCAAGCAGGAACGGGCCTGCCACCCATCCCAGGCCTAGGACAGGAAAGAGGAGAGTCAGACAGGGCTGAGCCAGAGAACAGAGCATGTGAGCCTGCCCCTCCATTCCACGGAAGGGAAGACTGAGGGAATACGCCCAAAGAGGGGCAGAGGACACCGGGACTCAGGTCTCTGAGGGGCCCCCATATCCTTTTATTGGCCCAGGGGTCCTGTCTTCTCTCTCTGATCTATAGGCTTGGGGCCTCCTAGGTGCCAGCAGAGTTTACTGCTGCCTGCCCACCAGAGATTACTGCTGCCTCCAGGCACCAGAGAAGCATTTTCAAGGTCCTTTGGAGGAAGCTTTAACCCAGAAGTCCGAGGGGTGGCTGTGGCCCTGCTGCTGCTTTTCCTTGCCTGGTCTGAACCTGGTGTGAGCCCAGCAGAGGTTCTCAAACAGGCAGGGCTGGTTCAAGGGTTTTAGAGCAGAGTTTCTTACGCTTTGGGCACATTGATGAAAGAAAAATGGACTTTGCATATAATTTAAGGAGGTTTGCGGACCCTCCTTAAGAACTCCTAATCTAGTCTTCTGTTTTTAGTTCAGAGAGAAGTGAGGAAGGGCAGAACGAGGGGCAGAACTAGGGCCCTACATACCCCCATCCCGCCTTCCACCAGGCCGGGGGCCTCGCTCCTGGTGTTGGTCAATTGAATGAATGAGGTGGGCCAAGAAAATCAGGACCCCTGTGTGACACACATCAGCCCCTCCACTTACCCCCACAGCCCCGCTGTGCGGCAAGTACCATCAGCCTGCATTTTTTCAGATTGGATCCTTGAGGCAGTCAGGGCCTGGGGGCCACCTTGGCTGGGGTGGTGGCATTCAGGGCAAACAGGTATAGGAGGAAAAAGGAGGCCTATGACCCTCATATCCTGATGGTTCCTGGGGGATATGGGAGGTGCCAGCCCTGAGCTTCCACAGCACCCTGACCCCTGGCCAGCAGCTCCCAAGGGCACTCAGGGGCTTGGCATGGAGTGGCGGTGAGAACCAGGGCTGTAGGAAGTGGGCGGGGCCTGTGTAACTACTACCTCTGTGATCTCATGAGAGCCAACAATGCCTCCTGGGTCAGCCTTCAGCACTCAAGCAGGCAGGGTTGGGAAGTCAATCAGGAGAATGCTTCCCCCATTCCCCACTCCACAGTAAACAGGTACACACCAGCTTGTCCCTGGGCTTCTTCTGGGCAGCTCCCAGAACCACGAGGCTGAAGATGTACTTTCTCTCTCTAATGTCTCTCTAGGCACTAGTGCCCACGCAGGTCCCTCAGTGCAGCAAGTACCCACCTCACCCCTTTCAGTCACCAATCCCAGGCTCCGCTGAGCACTGACAGGGCCTAGCTACTGCCAGGATGGATCAGAATGCATACAGTTGGTTCCAGGGATCCCTCTGATACCATGCCCTTCTCTGCCAGAGACAGGCTGCTGTCCAGAAGAGCCCAGAAAAATAGGTCAAGGCCCTTTTTGAGAGTATCCGGAATGAACAGCGCAGCCTACCAGACCCAAAGTCCAGGAGTCTGTGGGAAACCAGGGCCTGTTCTGGTTTGGCAGCCCTGACCCTAACTGCTTCATGGAGATCATAAACCTTGCGGTGGCCAAGTGGAAAAAGCATCTAAGTTAACCATGATATCAGAAGTAGTCACTCGTGAGAGCTGGCGGGGCCCTCAGAAATCGCTTCATCCAAACCCCTCAGAGCCAGATGGACCAAAAGGAAGGAAAAGGCTGACATAAAGTATCATAGCAAATAGCTGGACTGGCCGGAACCTCAGCCTTGGCCCCAGAGTCAAATTACTTGGCTTTGAATGCCTACCTTGGTACTTTCTGGCTATGTGATCTGAACTTTTCTCATCTCTAAGATGGGTTTGTTGTGAAGATTAAATGGGATCATCCTAATTCATGTAGAGCAGTTTGTGGGGCACACAGTAAGTGATATGAAAGTGTTAGTTACTATCAAGTTACCCTGCTGCCCGCTACACCTTATTCTGCGACCCCATGAGAAACAAGGATTTGTGGCCTTGGACTTTTAAGTACCTGGCCCCTGGCTGGGCCAGCCCGCATCTCTCCTCATTCCATGAGGATAAGGATGAACCCAGCCCTCGAGGCTCCTTGGAGCTGCTGATCCTAACTGTTCTTCCTGCTTGGGCTCGTGTGTTTAGCTGTACCAGTGCGAAGCCCTTTGAGGGCAGAGAATGGACTCAGTCCTGAGCGGCTATAAAATGCTGGGGACCCGGCGGGCATCTGGCAGATAGCCCATTCTTTATGGAGTGCTGCGATTAGAAAAACTCTTAGGGATCATCTTGTCCAAGTTCCTCATTTTATATATGAAAAAACTAGTACCAAGAGAAGGGGAGGCACCGTGATTTGGCTGTTGATTGATTAAAAGGACACTGGCATCTATATTGTTTTTTATTTATAAACAAATCGACATAAAATAAGTCCAGACGGCAGCGGGGCAGCTATGCTGCTGACCTGCTTACAAAGGAAGCACGTGGACAGTGAAGAAGGTGCAGCCAGATTCCAGCCTGGAGACTCTTGCCTCCCACCCACCTTAGGGCCTTCTTGGCCTAAAATCGTTGGGCCCAACCTTCTTCCACAGCAGTTCTGGCCAGAGCAAGGAACTGTATGAGGACAGTGTGGGGCAGAGGACTCTCATTCTCGCAGATGAGGCTGAAGCTGCAGAGGGCCCAGTGGAGGAAGAGAGGGGAAGGTAACAAGGACCCTCTCCTCCCATGTGGAGTAATGTGGTCAAGGCTTTCTGGGTCTGTCCATCCCAAAGAGAAAGTGTCCTGGGGTAATGTCCTCTGTAAAGGGGCCACGCTTCTCTGGGACCAGGGCAGGGTAGTCTCTCTACTCCTGAAACTCCAAGTCTGGAGGGAGAGGAGTGGGAACTGGAGGGCTTGTCCGGGTGCCAGAAACAATAAATTAACAATAAGAAAAGATCTTTTTTTTTTTTAAAAAAAGGTAGAGGTCTACATCATGAGCTCGGAGCCTGGGGATCTTGTGAAGAGAAGGCAGGAGCTGTGGGGCAACGGGTGCTACGTCAGGCCCTGCAGGTGGTGAGGGGACTGGGCATGAGCATTAATTCAGGGCCCCATCTTCTGAGTCTTCAGGTTGGCCCCTTCCTCCATTGCTTAGAAGGTGTTCAGTCTAAACTCCTGATGAGAGGCTGGCCAGGCTTGGGAAATAAATACATGGGACCTCAAAGCAGAGGCAGGGCTGAGGGGAAGAGCAGCGCCAGCCCTGGTCTCCCCTCCTCGGTCCTTCATGGAAGGACATATCATGGCAGGAGGGGGTAGTGGCGGCCCTGAACCCCACTGAGGCACCTGGGAGTGGGCTGATGGTCCTCCCTCCTGGGAGAAGAATGCTGGCCCCATCTGCTCCACCCTCCAGGTGTCTCAGCTGCATCTCCCTGTTCAGAACTTGCCCTGCTTCAGCCGGTCAATGTGGTAGGAGAGCTTGAGTGCGGGCCCCAGCTTCAGGCCCATGTACTTCATCATCACGTCGCTGCGCAGCAGAAGCAGGGCCTTGCCGTCAATCTCCTGTGGGGGAGTGGCAGGAGGAGCCCTCAGAGGCCTGGTGGGCCTGACCACCCCAGGTTTTGATTAAAGACCACCCAGGAAATGCTAGTCCAGTGAGCCCGCTGTGACACTAAAGCCTGCCTGCTCTCCCCACCTTCTCCAACCATCCCTTCCCCAAAACATCTACTGCTGAAACCACCACTAACTAAGCTCTCCACTGGTTTGTACCAACTTCCCTTCTCTGCTGCCCGAGGCAGTTTCCGCACCCTCCCAAACCTCTGAAATCCAGCTCAACTCCATCTCTTCCAGGAAGCCTCCTCAGGCAGTGAACTTGTCACTTCTCTCAGCTTATTTTCATAACGACTCTCAGTGAGTCCTCTTCCTTCCTGAGTGGCAGGGACCCTCTGTGTGAGCTAGGCACAAAGCGGGCACTTCCTGAGCAGCTCTGAGACGACCTTCGGGTCTGATCTAAGAGCACCCTCCAAACCCGCCCGGCGTGAGAGATTTAAATGACCAATGGAAGGTAGCAGATCTATTCTGAGTACCCAAAGGGCAGAACAGCACCAAGCAGCAGGGGCTACGGGGAAATGGGTTTGAGCCCCAGAACAGGAGTATGGTCACTGCAAGAGGATCAGGAGTCGTCCCTGGCCACAGAGCCAAATGGTCACTTGAAGAGATGTTAGAGGGGCTAGGAGAGGATGGGGGACTGATGAGAGTGGAACGTTGGGGGCCACTTGGCAAGGGACTCTTTAATGGGCTGAGGCCCCTGATTCTCAGGCCAAGGCAGGCAGATGGGAGACAAGTGCTCCTAGGAAAAGAGAGCCTGTCCCTGAGACCGAGCCCACAGGGCACATACCCAGAGGGAATGTGGCCGAATCAGATCCTAAACTCAAGGAGTAAGCTGGACTCAAAGCCCAGTGAGGGCTGTTTTAGCCCCAGGATTCTGTCTCTAAGTCTGTATGATCTCCTGTGCTCAGTTTCAAGAAACCTGGAACAAATATATAGTCCATGCCCTTTAAGAGTCTACAAGAGTCACAGAGCAAGATTCCCAGTGAACATGGGAGAGATCAGGCAGGGGCACCTACGTGTTTACGAAAGAGGTCTGCGTGGGGTCCCAGCTGAGGATCAGCTTCCCGGACAAACTGCATCACGTCCTCGACTGTCCATGAGGAGGGGTCCCGGCCACTCAGTCGAGAGGCATCCCGGTTTTCGAGGTATCGGTCCGTCCCTGCAGGACAGAAGGGCACTTGCCATCACGGGAGGGGACTGGTTTGTAACTACTCACCACTTTCCTTGGCATGTCCTGAAAGGCCCTATGGGTGAAGCTCACTGCCTTGCCAGAGCAGGGGACCCGAGGCAGCGGGGAAACCGAGGCAGAGGGAGAACCGAGGCAGTGAAGGAAGAGGAGGGTTTCCCACAAAGGGCCTGAGGGGCTGAGACTCTTAAGTCAAATCTTTGTTCTTTAAGGGCAGACATGGTTTTGAAAATGGTCAGAAGCAATTTTATATCGAGGCTGTAATTCATCCTGGACGGGAGTCAGGGGTAACAATGAGGTAAGGGGATTACTTGGGTTCAGTGGTGGGTGGTGGGGGAGAGGGCTGGTCTGGGAGACTGCTTTTACCTTGGTTCTGGGGACCATTTCTAGAGAGACCTTGGAAACTGGGTAAGATTACAGCCCAATTCTTGGGGCCTGGGGAGAAAAAAAACGGTGGATAATACCCTGGGCCTCTTTCAAGACCTGAAGAATAGCTGATCTCACTACAGCCTAATGCACGGAGGAAGAAAAGCTTTGCTTTGGCTACCAGGAATCTCAAAGTTAATTTAGTGCTCTGCTTAGAGCTTTTTATCTCCATCTTGGCTCAAAAATGGCTCCTTCCATTCCCTCTGCGGGCTTTGTGATCTCTGTGTTTTGATCATCAACTGGCCACAGATCTCTGGCATGTTTCATCCCCTCTGCCTGGAATGTTCCCCTTCTCTACCTTCACTTTCTCCTCTTCTTGTACATACTCCAACTTAGCTAAGCAAGAGTTGGCTTCGAGGACCAGCTCTTTTAAGAAACTTTTCTGGTTTAAAACTGAAAAAATTGGTCTCACAAAGCATTTCATGTATCTCTCAGTTACAGTTCAATCTCTACACACTTTCCCCCGTCATAACTCTCTAATAGTCTATTCCCTATAAAGCAGTCAAAGCAACCTTAAAAAAGTAATTGCATCATGTCAATCCCTAAAAATTCCCCTAAAAATTCAATGCAATGGCCTCCCATTGTACACAAAATAAAATCTCAACTCCTTACCATGGTGTTGAAGGTACTCCATCATCTGACCCCTTCTACCTTTGAAATCGTATCACTGCCTTCCACCCCATCTTTTACTCACCATGATCCAGACATGATAGCTTTCTTTCTACTACTTGACTAGGCTAGGCTTTTATTCTTCGACCTGCAATTTCCTCTGTCTGGAATGTTCTTTTTCCCGATTTTTGCACACTCAATTCCTTCTCAGCATTTGGGTTTCATCTCAAATGTGGATTCCTCAGACAGGCCTTCCCTGATCTCTTAGTAAGAGTACTCAACTTCCCACATAGTCATTCTCAATCCAATTACTCTAGTTTTTTTCTTTCCTAGCACATATGACTACCTAAAATAATTTTATGCATTTACATTTATTATCTGTCTTCTATTTTGGTCACTGCTATTGTGATTTATAATAAAAAACATACATCCTCATTTCTGGCACAGAACTCTTAAAAACCTTGGAATTTCCTAAGTGGCAAGAAAAATAAAGGTGTTGTCTTTTGTTATTCATAACAAAAGAATGTCTTTTGTTATTCATAACAAAAGAACTGGACCTTTCAGTTCTACCTCCCAACCTCCTAGGAAGGGGGAGGCTGAGTTCAATCACCAACTGTTAATGATTTAATCACTCTTGCCTATGTAATGAAGCCTCAGTAAAACACAGAAGGATGGGGTTTGGAGAGCTTCCAGGCTAGTGAACACAAGGAGGTGCTGGGAGGGTGGTGTGCCCAGAGAGTGCATGGAAGCTCCACACCCCTTCCTCCATACCTTGCCCTATGCATCTCTTCCACCTGGCTGTTCCTGAGTCGTACCCTTTTACAAAAAAATCAGTAATCTAGTTAAGTAAAGTTTTCCTGAGTTCTGTGAGCTGCTCTAGCAAGTTAATTAAACCAGAGGAGGGGCTGGTGGGAACCGCCAATTTACAGTAGTCAGTTACTAACAACCTGGACTTTTGACTGGCATCTGAAGTGTGGGGGGAAAGTATGGTGGCAGTCTTGTGGGACTGAACCCTTAACCGGTGGGATCTGACACTATCTCCAGATAGTGTAGATAGTTTCAGAATCGAGCTAAATTATGGGATACCCAGCTGGTGTCATAGAATTGCTTTTACCACTCCTGTGGGAGATCCCACAGGGCTGGTGTCAAAAGTGAAGGAAAAAAAAAACCGAGAGTAAGAGACACACACAGGAGGAGAGTGTTTTCCTTTTACAGACCCCAACACATAAACAGGTGCCTGGTTTGCCATAGGTGTTCGAACATGATTGTTAAATGAATAAATGACCATATATGTTACTTGTATATTTTTCTGTCTCCCCTGCCAGACTTTGTTTCCAGACAGGGACCTTGCCTTGCTCATATCTGTATCTTCTCCACCCAGGAGATGCCCAGTCACACAACTAAGTGACAGAGCTGAAACACACCTGTGAAAGGAGAAGGAACCTACTCTTCGACTACCTCTTGCGAAGGCTAAAAATTTCTTACCACTTTCTTGTATTCTGGGTCCCAGGTCTAAAAGTCGAAGCCCAGTTTGCCCAGCCCCTGTTCCCTGGGGAAGAGACTCTATCATATTACCTCTCAAGCTTGTGGTTGGGCACTGAGCAGACTAGGGGAGCAAGCAGAGGTGATTAGAGCTGTAGAAATTCCAATGGCTTTTTAGAGGTGGTAATAGACAGGAAGTTGGAGAGGGCTCCGTGAGCCAGCCACTTCTCCCTGCCTAAAAGTCCACTGTGATGCTAAGAGAGAAATCAACTGCAGAGATTACTGAGAGCAGAAAGAAGATATATGTATGAATGTGTCCTTGGACCATCTTAGCTAATTCTTCTACCCAGGGAAGCAAGGAATCATACACACACACATATATTCACATGTATAATATTATATGTGTGTTTATCTGTCTGTCAGCCTCTTCCCATTAGAATATACTCTCCACTGAGATGAAGACATTTGAGCAAAGACCTTGAGGCAGAAAAGTGATGGGCACATTTAAGGTTTAGTAGGGAGGCCAATGTGCCAGAACTGAGTGAATGAGAAGTGGTAGAAAATAACATCTGAGAGGTGTGTCTGTGTGTGATGGGGCAGGGGATGTGGGGGTGGAGATTACTAGTAGAGGACCTTGTATGCCACTGAAAGATTATTGGCTTTTCTGAGTGATACAGGTAGGTCTTGAGCAGAGGAATGACATGAACCAACTTATAAGTAAAAGGACCATTCTCACAGTCTGTGTTAATAAAAGACTTTGGGGTCAAGGGCAGAAGCAAGGGAGACCAGTGAGACCAGTTGAAAATGAGGCTACTATAATAGTCCAGACAAAAGATGACTGGCATGCCCCATGTGGTAGTGGGGAACAGGGTGAAGAGTGGTCTGATATATGAACATTATAAGGAACACCTACTATCATCAGCTCATTTGACTCTCAAAACAACCCTTGAAGGAAGTTTCACCTTCTTCAGCTTAGAGATGAGGGAACTGTGGCCCAGAGAAGTGACTTGCTCAAGACAACACGCCTTGGAAGGAGACAAGTTAATGCCCTGTCTTTGTTTTTTCCTAGTCCCATTTCTGCAGACAGACTAGGGTTCTTCCCCTCTACTCAATGGGTACAGCTGGTGGGTACATCCACAGAGGCCAGACTAACAAACTGATGCCCAATCATCCTGGATTAATGAAATAAGAGAGGGAGTGAAGTGGTTTGCTCAAGACAACACGCCTTGGAAGGAGACAAGTTAATGCCCTGTCTTTGTTTTTTCCTAGTCCCATTTCTGCAGACAGACTAGGGTTCTTCCCCTCTACTCAATGGGTACAGCTGGTGGGTACATCCACAGAGGCCAGACTAACAAACTGATGCCCAATCATCCTGGATTAATGAAATAAGAGAGGGCATCTATTAAATTCTTCTAGAGAACCAATTCTAGGGCCAACCAAACGAAATCCTTGCATAGCCTTAGGAGGTTCTTCAGGGTCAGACGAGATCTAGAATGTGACCCGGCTGACAGACTCACAATGTATCCCAAAGGAAGAGTGGAGATGCCTGAGGAACAACAGTGACATCTGAGGCCAGCCAGTGTGGTGTGAGACACTCCTAACAAAAACAGGGCCTTGGGGAAGATCACAATAATAGTAATGCCCTCATACCTGGGGAATGAGTTAGTTTTCAAAATGATCCCATATCCCTGTTTCCATCTGATCCTTTTCACACTCCTGTGAAAAGACCAGGTCGATATCACCATCTCCATTTTGCACACGAAGAACATGAAGATGTGAGAGGTGAGGTGATTTACCCAAATCTCAAGGCAAGGATCAACTTTCAGCTCTACCTCTACTTCAGAGCTCCTCATACTCCACTTTGCTGCCTTGCTGGGGTTAGGGGTGGGGGAAGGGCATCCCCGGCTTCTTCTCCTATCTCAGCCTTCCTGAAAACTCTCCTCTGAGGTCACTTCTTTCCACTGCAGGCCTTGCTAATGGAGTCTTCTTATTCTTGCACACCCCATACATCCCTGGGCTTGGGGAGGCCAAGCTGGGGAGGTGGCATTTTCCTGTCTCCCCATTGCACTTTTAGGCCATCCTTCTGTGAAAGCTCATGTTCTTCAGAGGCCAAACATGTACCTGACCATTTGCTCTTCCTGATCACTTCCATCTGTAGGTCTCTGGGTTTCTATCCCTTGTAAATGAAGGCTTTTTGGTACTTAGCTCATTGCCTTCTGTTCCACCCCAATTCCGGCCCTAATCCTTGGAGACAATCCAGTCAAGCACCTTGCCTCCTACAGTAACTTTCACCTCTGCTGTACTTCAAATACCTACTGCCAAGGCTACTGTCTGGTTCTTGCCATCACTTGCAACAAACCTACTTCAGAATTTTAAATATTTTTGACTCTAGCCTCCTGTCTGTCCAACTCTCTTGGGACCTATGTCCACTATAATCATTATATCACAAAGATCTTCAGCACATCCAACTTAGTTTCTCCCATCCTTCAGCCTCCTTTCAGCTTTGCCTCTCCACCCTACCAGCTCCAGTGCTGATGATCTAAACTACTCTCCCTCCAGCTCCAACGATTCCTTTATATGCACTCCTGCTACCTGCCCCCTCTTCTCCTTCCAGCTCAACATAAAACCTTAATTCTCAAACTGTCTTTTCTTACCTCACATCTAGGTTTCTAAGAACCACAGAAGAAAACCACAGTTTTTGCAAAACGGCAACTAATCTCCAAGCATAGCTGGGCCTTTGTGTTTCCTGCAAATCATTCTCTTCCCATTGATCCAGTTCCTCCTGTCTTCTTTAGGACCAATCTTTGAGCACTCTTAAGCCCGTCCCCACTCTGTCCTCCATTCACTTATGGCCAAGTCAATCTTCCCTCCAGTCTCAGAGGACAAGGTGTGCCTCCTTCTGGTTTAAGACTGATCCGTCTGTCTGAGCTCTTGATCCCTAATCCCTCCTACCACCCTCAAGGCCTTACTTTCTCCTCTTGCCTGTATTTTTAATTTCTTCTTCTTACAGGGCTCAAATTATCTGCTGATAAACATGCCCAGCTGCTCCCACTCTAGACCTTTTCAAGGTTATCATCTTTCTTCTCATCAAACTCTCCTTCATATCCCCACTCACTATAATCTGCCCTCACCACTCTCCACCACCACTGATGCTGTTCTTGCTAAGATCACCAATTACCTACTAATCACCACGTCCAGTAGATATTTCTCAGTCCTATTATTTTCCAAACCTTTGTTGTGCTGTGCTTTCCTTAAAACACTCTCTGTACTCCTGGCCACCACAATATCAAATTCTGTTTTTCTATTTCACCACTTCCTTGGTGGGATCCTCTTCCTGTTCCCATCTCCTAAACTTGTTGGTCCCCAGGACTCCATCTTTGATCAACTGTTCTTTTCATTCTATACATACTCCTGGGAAGTGGATGTTATTTACCCTACAGCTTCAGCTACTATCTGTATGTTGATGACTCCCAATTACTTATCTTCAGCTCAGTGCTCTTCCCTGAGAATCAGACTTGTATAGCCACCACCTGCTGGATATCGCCTAGATGACCCATGGGCCCCCTACCCTTCTTTCTCTTCTAGGTACCACCATCTATCTATCCAGCCACCCCATCTAGAAACCTTGCAGACTTCCCATTCCCTTCTTCCTCACGATCCTCAAATCTGACTGAATTTACCTCATGAATAGTTTTCAAATCTATTCTCTCTTTTATAAACTTCTACCACAGCCTAATCCAGGCCTTTATCACTTTTGGTCAGGCCCATGCTAGTAACCATATAACTGCTCTCTCTAGTCCTGTCTTCCCTCAAATACATCCTCAACTCAGTAGTCAATGATCTACTGAAAATACAAAACTTTTTAGGGCTTGCCTCTAATTAAAAGCCTTCAAAGCTTCGCATTGCCTGTAAGAGCAACTCCAACCTCTTTAAAGCATTTACGGTTCTCTATGCTATAACCCCTGACCTTTTCTCTTTGAAGTCCCAGTATTACTTTTTGTTTCAGCAACAGCAAACGGCATGTAGTTCCTGGTACAATCTGTGCCAGTTCTTATCTCTTTGCCCTTGTTCATGCTGTACTCTCTTCCTGGCAAGCTCTCTCTCCCCTGCTATTCCTGATATGGTCGTTCAAACAGTCACCCTTTCAAGTCTCAGACAGGGCAGCATTTCCTCAAGGAAGCTGCCCCTGGACATCTAGCTTGTGTTAGGTGTCCCTTTTTGCAGTTTTAATACCATCAAAGCATATCCCTATAACTGCATTCAAGATGCTGTTTTATAATTATCTGTTTGTTTCTCCCACAAGACTCTGAGCTCCTCGAGGACAAGTGTGATTGAGTTTCGCACCCCCATGATGCAATATAGATGATGTTCAAATAAATGGCTAATGAAGGAATGAATTAATCCTTCCCCGTCCCTTTGGCTCTAGGTCTTCAGCTCTTAGTGTCTATTATTCTCAAGCCAACTCCAGAACTTCAGTTGCCTCTCAGGTAACTAGCCAGGCACAATAGGAAGCCCAGATCCCAGTCCAACAACCAGGCAGAGAACAACAGAGCTAAGTAATTTCTGGCCTCCAGAGCTCAGGAAAGAAAGAGTAAAGGAGGGCAGGAGAGCCAGAACTCTGATAAGCTTACCCCTGGAGCACAGCCTACGCACAGCTGAGGCAGTGCTCAGTGGGAGGCCATAGGATGGAAGCAAAGGCCGGTACCCAGGGGTTCGAAGATTTTGGGAGGTGCTGACAAGGTTGGTGGGGTTCAAGGTGGAATCCATTGAGTCTGAGTGTGGTTCCAAGGACCGGGCTAGACTATTCCCCAAGACAAAGGTTTCACCTGGAAAAGAGTAAAACCAGAGTTAGAGCAGGGACTAGTTTGGAAGAATTGCCAGGGTGTTGGCTCCCAGGTACCTGTTTGGATGGAGCAAAAGGCAGCAAAATACAAACCCCTGAGCTGGGTCTCAGGAGGCCTGTGTACCAGTCGTGGCTCTGGCTCTCACTAGATAGTCTTAGTCAAGCCCAATGCCATTCTTTGGACTTGGATCTCCTTAGAGACTCTTCCTCTTAAACTAGATGGTCTTTGAGATTTCTTCTGGTCTGGATGTCTTATGCTTTTTCTGGATAAGGAGAACCTTTCAACACAGCTATTCTAGGAAAAGTTTGCTTTATACAGTGAAGACTGGGGACAGTACTACCTGCCTCACATGAGCTAACAGATGTGAAGAATAAGTATGACGACAATGCCTAGGGCTCACCAGATGTGGATGCAAATCAGTTAAGTGTTTCTTCCTCTCAGCAATGCTAAGGATGGTAACTGAGATCTGGATTGTGAGTTGAGGGGTCTGAAAATCTGGACTGGTGGCACCTGGACTAGGCAAGATCATCAATCTTATCCTAATGAGATGCAGTGGGAAAATGAAGCATCACACCCAAGGCTCTGGGAGGTCTTAGTCTGCTTACAGCTGATCCACGAGGCCTTGACTGCCTTTGGGAGGTAGAAAACTTCAGGGTAGAAAACTGCTGTGTTCCACAGAGGGGGACCAAGTGAGTAGGGCTCTGGGTCTCATCCCAGTTTCTATCAAAACAGCTCTGGTTTTAACATTTATATACCAGAGTTTCATATAATCTTACCTTTGCAAAAAAGGAGTTCTACTTCTAAAAACAAACTTTGACACCGCTGGCCCGGAGATCAGAGGTTGGAGTTGGAAGACTTGAGTTTTAATTCTAACACAATAATTAGTCAATGATCACTACCTTTCCCCCACCCTGGGATTCAGTTTGCTTATCTATAAAATGAAGATGAAAACCCTTAATCTCATAATGTAAACTGAAGTTGCTGCTGATATGCTGGAGACATGAGAACAATCGGCATGAGAGAAAGCTCATTCATTCACTCAACAAAAATTTGTTGAGTACCCTTTGAATATAAGCCATTATGCTAGGTATGGGGTATGCAGAGGTAAACAGACAGATAAGGACCTTGCCCTTATGCATTTATTTTTAGTAAGAGGCAGATCTTTTCTGAGTATTGCATTGCAAGGCTGACCTTAAAAACTAGAGTTCTCAGTGGAGGGAATGGTGGTGAGGCAAAGGAAAACCTTGGGACTGTATAGTCTGCAGAAAAGTCAGGGAAGACAAAGACTCTAAAGGCAGTGATGGGAAGGGAGGAGGGTGGACGTAGATCTGTTCTTTTGGAAGGCAGAGAGTAGAACAAGGGGCAGGAGATATAAGAAGATTTCAGCTCAAAAAGAGGCATTTTAGCAATCAGAAGTGTCCAACAGTGAAATCAACTGCCAAAGGCGATAGTGAACAATCTGTCATTAAGATTATTTAAGCAGAAGTCAGACAATCATCCTCATCTGTTGGACTAGAGAGCAGATTGTCTCTAGAGCACTTTATACTTCTGAGATTCAAGGATGCTGTGTTCACAACCATGCTCTCCCCTTCCTGGGGTGAACTGAATGACCAAGAACTAGAGCCATGTATCTAAGAAATTCTTACATCAATATAGGACCCAGAGACTAACACAGTTCCTGAAATGCTTAAGCCTGTTTTATGCTAAAAAAAATTCCCTCTCTGAACCACATCCTCTACTACCTTTTCATTCAACAAATGTTATTAAATACTTAGTATGTGAGAATGAGAATAGTGTAAAAGATAGATATTGTTCTTGCCCTCACAGAATATTTAATTTAGTGGGGAGGATGACAAAAAAAAATTTAGAAATGATTGTAATTATTACTAAGGAAAGAAATAGGGTATTAAGATAAAAAATAACAGGGGGACCTTTTTTAGTTGAGGAGACTCTGAGAAGTCTTCCTAACAACTTGATATTTAAATTGTGGTCTGAAGAAGCATCTAAATGAAGGCGCGCCAGACAACGTGCTTGGTTTTAGGGTTCAGTGGAAGCCCTCAATGAATCCTAAGCATTATCTAAGCAGTCAATCACTAAGAAAAACTTCAAAAGATAGGAATATGGTCCAGGATCCAGGATGCCACCCACCCCACATGCAAAGAATTCTATGGGAAGGCTAAGTAACTGACTTGGTTTGGGTGAAATCTAACCATGGGAAAGGATTTGCTATAGGTTCCCTGGTGCAATGGCTAGGAGCTGCTGCCTGGTAGCATAAAGAAAGACTCTGAGGTAGAAACAGATTGCAATATTTAGGGAAATGGGGAAAAACAGTGTAGCTAAAGTGTACAAAACAGAGAAAAGTTTGGAGAGATAGGCAGGAACCAGATCATGCAGAACACTGAAAACCAAAGTGAGACATCTGGATTTTATTATAAGTGCATTAAAATGCTACTAAAGAGTTTTAGTGTACAAGTATCATAATCTAATTACACTTTGAGAAGACCATGTGGGCTATTAAGTAGAAAATGGACCAAGAGAGGTACTAAGGTGATGGGTAGGCCAGAAAGGATCTCTCAGGCCAGGAGAGAGAGAATGATGGAGAAGGCTGTAGAGATGATAAGATGTACATGAATTCAAGATACATTTTAGATTTCCACTGCCAGCTAAGGTAGAGTAGATATACCATACTGCTTAAAACAACTAAACAAAAGACAAAATATATGAAATAACAGTTTTCAGACATTACACATCATGTAGTACAGAACAGTGATTCCTGAAAGGGAAACAAATGTTGTGAGTCCTAGGCTTGCTCCCAGCTTCCTGTCTGGAGAGAGTTTCTGGGCCACAGTACAGAGAGGGGCAGATTGGACAGAGCCCAGTGATCCCCCTGAGTTGAGGTGATGGAGCTGAGAGTCCAGACAGGCCAAGGCAGCTGAATTCACAAGCAAGAGCTTGTGATTATAATTATATTTCATATGTTCAGGAAGGTAGAGAAAAGACCAAGTATGTAAAGCAAAGACAATGAAGATGTAAAGCAAAGACTCATATTGAACCTCTAGAAATAACATAATGTCTGAGATGAAAAATACGTGGGATGGATTAAAAATAGATTAGACACTGTAAATGAAAAGATCAACTGACTTAAAAATAGTTTTAGAATTTATCAAAAATAACCACACACACACACACACACACACACACACACACACAGGCTGAAAGATTTTTTTTAAAAAAGCATCAGTAATCTGTGGGAAAACTTCAAGAGGATTAATATATGTCTAACCTGTAAGGAGCAGTGACAGAAAATATATATAAAGGATGACAGAAAAAATTCAGAGTTGATGAAAAATATAAACCTACATATCCAAGAAGCTCAGTGAACCCCAAGCACAAGAGGCATAAAGAAAATCTCACCAAGCACAGCATAATCAAATTGCTTAAAACCAACAATAAACTGAAAAACTTAAAAAGCATTCATGGGAAAAAGACACATACAAGAGACCAAAGATAAGAATAATAGCAGACATCATCAGAAACAATGCGAACCAGAAGACAATGGAGCAACAACTTTGAAGTGTCAAACGAAGGTCAACCAAGAATTCTAAATTCAACAAAAGTATATTTCAAAAAACAAAGGCAACTCCCCCCCCAAACCTCTTCAGAGATACAAAAACTGAAAGAACTCACTCCAATAAACCATAAGAAATGTTAAAGAAAGTCCTTCAGGCAGAGAGATGATGACATAATTGGTTTCACACAAAAGAATGAATAATACCAGAAATGGTAGCATAAGAGAGTAAATACAAAAGAACTGTTTCTTACTTAAAAAAATCTTTACAATATGATTACTTATTTAAAGTAAAATAATAATAATGTACAGTGGGATTTATAATGTATGTAAAAGTATGTGTAACAATAAATAGCACAAAGGCCAACAAGAAATGAAAGAATACTATTGTAAGGTTCTTATACTATATGTAAAAGTGATACGATTATTATTGTAGATTGTGATATATAAAAAATGTAAATGTATAAAATAAACTAAAGCAATCACTAAAATAACAAAACAAAGACTCATAGCTAGTAAGCTAACAAAGGAAATAGAAAAAAAAAACTGGATTAATCCATAGAAGAGCAGAAAAAAGAGAAAAAGAGGAACACAGATGGAACAAATCTCTCCATCCACGGCTTTTGTCTTTGTTCTTTGAGTTGCTAAAAGTATAGATCTGGGATAGATGGTTCATTCATTTAGATAATTAGAGTAATGGTGCTTTTAGTTATGAAAGACAAGGCCTGGGTATTGTGCAGCAAGGGAAAGCTGAGACAAAAGGAAACCAAATTATTTTGGACCATAAATTAATTTTGAGTTGCCTGCTGATGACTTAAAAAGGAGGAGGTGTGGGATGGAGGGAACAGAGAAATCAAAGGAGAAAGAGAATCCTCCAAAACTAGAGTGGGCTCCAGAAAAGGCAGCGGGCTGAGGCTTAAGGTGAAAGAAGACAGTAAAGATATTTATTATAATAGCTGATAAAAATTAAAATAAAACAAAATGTTAAATTGCTTCTTGTTCTTTGTGATAATTCTTCTTCCTTCCACTCTTCAAACTTAGGTACAAGTCTATTACACTAAACAACCTTGTGTTAGTTTTTCCTGAAATGAAAGATGAGGTACTAACTCGGGCAAAGGACTGTATGGAAAGAGCATCAGCTATGGGAGTTGAAGGGGAAAGAAGAGATTAAGAACTGAGTCAGAAGCAGGAATTCACAGCTAGAAGTGGCACTACCAGGAAAATGTAACCTTATTCTGGGTTACATGGGATGGGAGTTCATTTTATTTCATTTAGATTTGGATATCAAAGCAGAGGAAAATCCCCGAATCTAGAAGGACTTGCAGAGTTCTACAAAAATCTTCAACTAGTTTCCCTGCCTACTATCTTGCTCCATTCCAATCATTCTCCCACACAGGTCCTGAGCTTTCTAACACACAAATCTGATTATGTTACTTTCCTGGCTTTAAATATTTCAATGGTTCCTCAGTGCTCAATGATATATTTTGAAGTTTATAACATGGTCAGCTAGACCTTCATAACTGGGCCTCTGCCAACCACTTCAGCCTCATCTCTCACGTTCCTCTTCTACTTTATATTCCAGCTATACTAGACATTCGGTTCTGAATGTCTGAAACAGGTCATGCGCCCTCTTGCCCTTCACATTCTCACACGCTACTTTGTCAGTGGGAAAAGTCTTCATTTCCTGTCTCTGTCTCCTTGGGTCTGTGGCATTTTCATCTGATTATCTTACTCCTTCAGTTCCAAGCTTAGATGTCTTTTTTTTTTTTTTTTCCTCTGGAAAATTTGTAGGGGAAAGGGCTCCAATAAGCACCTAGTTAACAGAGGTGGCACCTTTGGATGTCAAACTAGCAGAAATATGTAACCAAGCAGAGGGGAGGGGGTGATAAACACGAGATCCAAAGGGCAAACCAAAAGACAGCCCTTGTCCAGATCAAACTCTTTGGCAGATGTTTGGGTAATTGATCAGAAAAGTGCAGGAAATGATAAATGATCAGAGGTGGAGCAAAGGGTCAGAAAGGCAGGTATGTAGGCAGGCAGAAAAGATAAGTGAGGGAGCGCAGAGGAGTCAGAAATCTAGTCAATGCTCTGACTCGTCTGGGCATAGTTAAAATGCACATTTCAGGGAAGCAAATAGAAACTAGGATGAGAGCAGCCAAGCTGCTGAGCACCCACTATGAGAAACAGAGGTGAGAGAGCACGGGAAGGTGCAGAGAGTTGCTGAATCTGTTGAAAATGAGGGAAGGGGAGCGGGGCAGCCAATGGTGAAATGTGATCACCCTGGTATTGGTCTCCTTCTTGGTGAGACAGAAGAGTGGCTAAAGCTTGCTTCCTCTTATCTGGTAGTTGAATCTGAGAGATGCAAACTGGAATTGAATTCCCAGGAAAGGTCATGCCCCCAGACCCAAATTACCTTTGATTGCAGGCCCATGATGTGTACCCCAACCAATCTCTGCATGCTGCTACCGGTATGTTTCTCTTAGTTCTTAATGACGATATTCCATTGAGGAATTCAGAGCTGCCATTTATTTTTTTAAGAAATCTGTCTTTAGACTAGCAGCTACGCTCATGGACATGCTTCCTCCTCTTATGTGCCTGTTCTTCCAGAATCCCACGTAGGCTTAATTTTCATTACTAAAGTGCAGCTTAGAGCTCCTGAATGCCAATAGCTGGGGATATTTAACAGCCTGCCTTTGCGCCAACTTCACATGCCCGGCCCAGACTTCCAGTGGAACATTCTAATTATAAGTAAGAAAGCTTTTTTCTATTCTTAGAGATTCTGATGCTGAAAGAAAGCAATCTAGAGCAGATCAGGTGAGAAAAAAAATCAGTGAAGGGTCACAGATATGTCTGTAGGGACCAGATGGTCTGGCCCCCACAAGCTGTATTTGAAATTCAGGTTATCTTTTTGCTAGTTACTTAGGCAATGCTCATTTGGGTGCAAAAATATAGGGGGGGGGGTGGTGGTGGCGCGGGGCTGGGTGAGTAGTCACTTCCCTGAGCACATTCTTCAGATGTGGCACTTTTATTAAAAGTGGTTCTGTTTAAGACAATAATAAAAAGACTACAGGGAAGACAGTGTGGGAACAAGACTTGTGTAGAAGGTCAGAAGGGGGCACCTTTAAGATTTACGCTCCCCTATCAACAGCCCTGACACTGAGAGCACCACCTCTGGATTCCTCCTGCCAGGACAAGGTCCACAGGACTCCTTTAAAGAGCCGTCCTCCCTCTCTCGACAACGACCTACCTCGCTATGTTTAGGGCCGAGCTTTCCTTCCCTCCCTGTCGTCTGTGTCCTGGGCTCCAGATTAGAGATGCCGTTCCATTCACTCTTTAACCTCTCTCGGAAGTGCTTAGTCACTGATCCGGCCACGTGGCATCCGCTTTCCCGTTGTGGGTCTGGTATGTTAACTAAGAAGTTATTTTTCCAGCCTAGTTAGAAACAGCAGGAACTTGAATTGACTTGCTAGACTGGCAGTGCTGGAGGAGTTAGGGCCACGTGCCAAAGGAA